AAAATACTGATTCAACCTAAAAAAGCCTCAAGTCTTGTGACCTGTTTAAAGTTTCAGCCATGTTTCCACATTAGAATATGACGAAGCAGTAGGGCTCCAAAAAGGGGTGTATTTGGTCATTTTCATGACGTCTCTCCATTCGTTCTCTGTGGGAGATTTTTCACAGTTTTTTGGTATTTATGTCGCCATGGAGTTTTGATTCATAATTTGTCTGGGTTTTGTCAAAGCTGCGGGAATAGTTATTTGCTGAAATTTCTTACGGAAGAAGAATAATAATAATAAGTATATTGTGTGTGTCGGTCACATTTACACTCATACATCACAGGATGGGTCATGTTGCACAACACACAACACACAGCTACACACACATGTTGTCAGCATGGAAGTTCTTCCTGTGACTGAAGGAGACACAAAGCTGCAGTTATGTGAAGCCAAAGTAAGAAATGGAGGAACAAACACAAAAACATGCAGAACAACAAACTAATCAGACACTGAAGCTCCATCGCCTGCTGAACATTTCCAGTTTCAAGAAGCTGAAGGCAAAGAGGCAAAAATAGAACCACACCTCTGACCTCACCTGTGCATTACAGCTACCTGCCAAACTGCTGCTGCATCTCACATGCATGTGTCCACACTGCCAGCATTGCTGCTGTGTCTTGGTCATCAATAATAATAATCACCCATCAGCCAAGAAAATTACAGTTGGAGCAGCTCCAGTCTGCAGGTCTATCAACACCTCCACCCAGAGCAGATCAGATTCTGTAGTTTCATTCACTTTATTGTATATTTGTAAAGGAGTGTGTCTGCAGATGAAGAACTTATGAAGGGTTTAACAGGAATATATTGAAATATCAGAGGAAACATGTTTGATCCAGCTGTGCCTGCAGGGAAGCAGCTGGACTGTCCTAACACTGACGCCTCGAACGCACTGAGAGAGAAGAAGAAGAGAAGCAGAGAAGAAGAGCTGCAGCTCTGAGGAGAAATAACAACAGATTTCGCCAAGTCACAGGAGGTTTATTAAGCTACTTCACAATAAAAGCATCGGCTGGACGGTCAAACATGTGACCACACGTTATTGACATTAGGCAATTTATTAGAAACATCCAACTAAAACTGATGTAGTCTAATACAACAGTCCTGCAGTAAATCCTCCTTCATGAAGATTATAATGTTTAGTTTTTATTAAAATTGTTTTAGACAGTTGTTGTCACATCATCAACCACCATTCACTGCATGTGTTACTTTACTAATCAGTTTATTCAATGCCTGAAAAAAACATACAATAACATAACAACAATTTCAATAAACAATGATCATTTTCTTACAATGGTTTACAGAGATCAGACACAACATGAAAACTGGTAACTGGATTTAGTGTTAACTGGTTTTAATTCATGAAAATAATGATAGGTAGAGCCTCAGGTCACTGAATGGTGACTGAATGACGTGTCAGAAACCTGCTGGTGCCAGTTGACAGTATCTTCCTCCACCTCCCACATTCTGTGTTAAAACAAAATAAGGGTTAGAGTTTATCCCAAATCAGTTTGAGTGATCCCAGTTAGACATGTGAGAAGAGTCCTGAGGGTTCATCTTCTCACGTCCTCCACTACAAAGACACTGACACAGACACTGGTCTGTGGAGGCGTCACAGTTCAGGTGAGAAGCTGCTGAGTCGTGAGTCTTTAGAGGAGGAGCAGCTCTCCTCCTCTGGAGACTCCTACAACAGGAGACAAGGAAAATGTGAACACACAGCTCAGGTTACGAGCTGCACACACTTACACAATACAGCTACTGTTCACTCTCACACACACACACACACACACACACACTGAGTATGTACATTAAACACATTTAAATAGGCACTCTTAAAAGTATCTCTCCCTATGCAGGTTGATCTGAGCAGTTAAAGTCTGACTCAGCAGCTCCAGCTTTCACAATGCAGTTTGAAAATAGTTTTATTAGCTGCTGTTTCCATTGTTTAAAAGAAGTCTACGAACATGTTTCATCTTTTCTCAGAGAAAATCCTCAGAGCAGTTTTCAGGAACACATGGCAGGACGTGGACTCTGCATGAGAGGAAACAGTCTGAGCTGAATCAGACTGCTACAGAAAATCCCACCAGGACTGACAGTGAGCAGCTTTAACAATCCACTCACGTAGACCTGGACCTGAACTGAACCTGTATGTGTGTGTGTGTGTGTGTGTGTGTGCATGTGCGTGTGCGGGTGCGTGTGCGTGTGCGTGTGCGTGTGTGTGTTCCTGTGTCGACACTGAGGAGGATGAAGGAGACAACAACATCTGGAAGTCTCACATCCTTGCTGTCTCTCACCAGCACACACATACACACACGCAGAGCCTTTATTTTGAAAGAGTAGCCCTGGCAAAGCTCTTCTCTGATGCAGCAGTCTATGTCGGAGAAGACATCATTTCCTGTCTCCCTCTCTGTGTGTGTGTACTTCCTGACTGTGTATTATCCGGCGGCTGCAGTATTATGATGTGTTGAAAAACTGAGTCATATTTCCTCTTTGATTATCAGCAGTCTGTTTCTGGTTTGACTCTTATTTTGTTCCTATTGAGGGACTCAGTAATTCACTCATGGTGATAGGACCTGGTCTGGTCTGAATGTTGAGCAAGACTAAGACAAAATAGAAAGATAAAAGCTGAAGGGGGTGTACTGGGGGTGGGGGGCAAAAATACTGTGTGAGGTGACTTAGAGTCACGAATGGTCTGAACTCACAGACATGTTGATGTGATTCAGTATGACTTCCACTTCCTGAGGACATTATCTCTGATGTCCCATCAGAATAAACCTCCAGGCTGCACAACTTCATTCACAGTCCTCGGGTTTTCTTCCAGTGACAGCTTGTTCTGCCACCAGTAAGCAGTGGTTTATATTGAAGTCAACAGAACAACAGGAAGTCACTGGGGCTGTAATTATGACTGGGGTGTGGGTGAATAACGATGATTAGCAGCAGAGCGCTGACGTTAAAGCAGCCAAGTGTAACAGAAATGCTCCTCCTTGTGTGTCAGCTTGGCATGAATGAGCTCAGACGATGTCATCACAGTGCTGCTGTGACATCATCACAGTTTTGACAGTCAGAGAGGATCCTCCCTGAACAACCTCATACTGACAGACAGTAAACACTGACCTCAGACCAGCTCTGTGGTCTCTAGAGGATCAGACTGTGAACTCACTGAGAGAAATCTGTTTGGGACCATTTCTTCTGCTTCAAAATGAGCTCAGATCTTTTTGGCTACATGAGAAGCTTTCAGTCAGTGTCCATGGTCATCAACCTTTGTTATCTCAACTTTGTTTGAGACAGAAGGTGGAAAAACCAATGGAAGTTAAAGTTTGGTCTCAGATTAGTCTGAAGGTTCAGTGAAGCTTCACATGTTCTCTTCTCACCACACTGCAGTAAAAATTAATACACATATATCATACAACCAAAATCAAATGGCCCCAGGCCCCAGACGGCCCTGAAGGCCCCAGGTTCACTGCCTGTCAGCTGGTTCATGGTGATTAGATCATTTCTCACTGAAATAAAACATCATCTGGTGCTGTTTTTTTATGTAGATCCATGGCTTCACTACTTCACTCTCTCTGTGCTGCATATTCCTACATGCATGTCATATATGTACATGAACATACACACATAGAGACAAAGACCTGAACCTGGTGTGGTCTGCACTGAGACCTGATGACCGGTCTGACATCAGCTCAGACGTGTGTCCCTGCACACACTCATGAGCTGACGCTGAAAACCTGATCAGTGATTCTGTGGGAACCTCCAGCTCCGTCCTCCTGAGGCCGCTTTGATGTTCAAATCAAACGAATCCTCCTCCAGAGCTCAGTCAAGTCAGAGGGGACACATGTATGTGTGTGTGTGTGTGGGTTGTGTGCGTGCGTGTGTGTGTGTGTGTGTGTGTGTGTGTGTGTAGTATTTTGCAGTATTTTAATAATGATTAATGTGTACAGTTCAGAGACTTCAATTCATTTTAAACAGTCAGAGAATCACAAAACAGACATGAATAAAAGTAGTATGTGCAGAGAGTAGATAAACCCAGAGAAGCTTTTACCTTTATATATAAATATATAAAACATGTTCACTGTCAGTCATACATGTAGTGTATGAGTGAGAGAGAGAGAGAAATGAGAAACTTAACAAACTAAATGTCCAAACATACATTCATAAATACCAGTTTGTAAGTAATAGCAGCAAGCGTTGTGTTTTAAGGTTGCCCATCCCATTCTCATGAACATGATATCTCAGTAACATTTTGAGGAAACTTCTTCAAAATTCACTTGGACTTCAATTTTGGCGAAGGTCAAAGGTCACTGTGACCTCACAAAACATGTTTTTGGCCATAACTCACAAATTGATACACTAATTATGACACAATTAACTCAAATGTCTAACAGCATAAAATTAAGTGATGAAATTTCATATCCAAAAGGTCAAAGGTCAACTTCACTGTGACACCATAATGTTCTGTAAAAACACATCTGGTCATTATTCACTGCTGTAACGCTGAAAGGAGAGACTGACCATGTTTCCTGTAACTTGGGAAACAAGGGGAAACAACCACGAGGAGGTAATTCTAGCGTATTAGTTAAAATGAGAAACATTTCTCCACCACCAGTGCCTCTGTCTCATGTTTCATATATACTTTATCTACTGGATATGACAGATCATTCTCAAATGATTTACTTGAATAAGTGTCAGAGCTCAAATACAGAGTCATTCACACACAAATAGAGACTGTTGTGGCTGTTAATTACAACCACAGCTGTAATGAAGATGAAAACTGTATCATCTGCTCCAGACAAACATCAGCAGCTCTGGTTCTTCCTGCACCTGAAGCAAACAGACAGAACATCTGCTGCATGTCACTTTGACCAGTCTCTGAGTGTCAGCTGACAGTCTGGTCTGAGTGACAGTTAGAGGAGTCACTGATAAAGTCTGAACCAGTCCTTCTCTCTCTCTGTGTCTGTGTCCTTCAGTCCTGGAGATCCTGCAGCTGGTGAGGAAGCGGGACCTGTTCCTGGCTGACTCTCACATCCTGGAGCTGGAGCAGGAGTGTAATGAGTCTGCCGCCGCTGAGCGGGGCGGCGCAACACAGCCGGAGGACAGCACCAGCCCGGGTGTCAAAGACGGCGGGCGGAGGAAGGCGAAGGACGTGGAGCTGCTGTACGAGGAGCTGCAGAAGGAGCTGTGGGCCGTGGTCCGGGAGTCTCTGAGGTCCCCCACAGCTGGGCCGAACCTGGGCCTGGTGGTTCAGGTGAGGGCTGCTGCTGCCGTGGTTATAGTGGTGGTCACAGGTGTCAGGGCTGACCTCACCTGAGTCTGTCTGTGTGTGTGCAGGTGCTGCAACAGGAGGAGCAGGCTGATAAAGACTGGGCCGTCCGCAAGGGAGCAGCCCCAGGGGGCCCGAGGCCTCGTCAGCTGAAACAGAGGTGGAGGGAGGCAGTGGAGGAGGCAGCTGAGGGCTCACTGCCTGAGAGAGCAGAGTTCACAGCTGGGGAGCTGGATGGATACCTAGGGCGGCTCCGAGCACGTGTGGTGGAGGACTTGGGGGCCGCCAACAGAAATGTGGTCTCCATTTACCCCGAAGAGTTCCAGGCCTTTCAGGTGAGACACACCTGGACAAAGAAACACCTGGTGTCTGATCAACTGTTGGATAGATTCATATAAAACATTCATGAGCCTCAGAAGATGAATCAGGTGACTCTCTGACTTCATCTAACTTTAACCTTTAATATTTGACCTGTCAGGTGTATGTGCAGAGTTACCACCAGGCGGTTGCCAGGCAACTGGAAGCCATCACCGACAACCAGCTGGAGATCACTGACATCTACTCTCTGCTGGACTGGCTGCACAACATCTACGACAGGTACACACATTTAAGTGTCACCAGTGGAGCGTTTGTTATATCTGTAGGACTGTACAGCACAGATTTCGTTCCTTCAGTGGTTCCTGGTTCTCTGAGAAAGGTTCTGTGTAGATGTGTGTATGTTCAGACATCATGTGTGTGTGTGTGTTTGTTGTTTCAGAGATGTTCTGGGGACTGTGTGTATCACAAGCCCGTTCAGCCGCTCTCAGCTTAGTCCTCTGCTGCCGTCAGAGACTGTGGACAGACTGGAGCTGGACTGTCTCAACTCTGTCAGGGTGAGACACACACACACACACACACACACACACACACACACACACACACACACACACATAAAGTGATGTTTTCTGAAGGATTCTGAAGGTTTGTCATTTCCTCCCTCAACTGTTGTGATGAATAATAATGTATTAGCATTACTATTATTCTAGTTAGTTCTGTTAGTTATTATTTGAAATTCTAACTGTCTTTTAAAATCCCTGTAGAAACATCAAACAGACTTCAGAGGAAAAAAGTGAAATTCATAGTAAATCATCTGGATCTGCCCCAAAATCTTTTTTTGGATAATTCTGCTGACAAACAAACACAGACACGGGTGAAAACATAACCTCCTTGGAGGTAATAACCGGTAGTGTTTGTCAGTGACTGTGCAGATCATGTAGTTAAGTTAAATACCCCAACTATATTTTTCTTAATATAAGACGCTGATGTTTCTCACTGAACAATAAAAGCAAATGTTTTGTATGAAAAAATAATCTGAAAAATCTGAAAAGAAACCAGAAGGAGTAGAAATATAAAAACACAGAAAATGTAAATACAAGTTCTCTGATGTGTAAATAAATAATGAAATTTCTTTTCCTGTTTTAGTTTTCAAAATAAAAGCCTGATAAGTGATCTTTTTCTCCAATGAATTATTAGAACCAAACAAAAAATTATCATCTAAAAGTATGATTTGAGTCTTAGAAGCTTGTGTAGGTTGTGGTTAAATTTAAGGTGTGTTTGTTTTGATGCCCGGCTCCTCCCTCTGCAGGCTAAAGTGACCACAGAGCTGAGTCAGGTCCTGGATGAAGAGGAGAAGAGGTGGATGGAGACTCTGCACATCGAAGAGTATCAGATCACTCTGGCCAAAACCGTCATACAGGTACACCCCCACACACACCCCCGCCCCCCAGTCCAACTCCACCCAGCAGCTCTGATCAGAGTTTCCTGTCTGGTTAAATAAAGGTTATTGAATCAGAGTGAAGTGGTGTTACGCAAAGATGGATTCCACTGCATCTGTACACTGATTGTTTTCTGAGTGTGTCCTTCAACTGCAGCCAAAGTCAACAGTGAGGACTTCCTGGTCACAAACACACACACACACACACACACACACACACACACACACACACACACACACTGATTTCAAATGGAACCAGCTGCTGTCCTCTAGTGGCCACCACTGATCTGGTAGCAGATTTGTTCCTGACATGTGGATCAAGTGTTGGTCTGATTAATGTGTGCACCGCTCTATGAGTGTGCTAAGAAAAGTTGTGTACAAATAAATTTACTTTTAATCTGCTAAAAGTTGTTGTCATATGAAAGAAGTCACTGAATATGTGTGTGTTGTTTCAGAGGCTGCAGGTGGATCTGGAGCGGTCTGCCTCCATCAACATGAGTCTGGGCTCCAGAGTGGCTCAGTGCAGCCTCAACGGCCTGGCTGACTTCCTCTACAGGTACACACACACGCATGCTCACACACACACACCACACACACACACACACACACACACACACACACACACACAGTGATCATGAGTCTTGTGTTCTCTCAGTTTCCAGCGTAAAGTGGAGATGTTCCATGAGAAGGTGCAGAATGGCCTGTTTGGAGACAGCGAGGACGGATACGTGTCCAAGACAATCGCCCTGGTCAACTGCTGCCCCCCCTTCAGGTAGAGACACACAGAGACCTGCTGCTGCACCAGGGACCTCCTCAATCTGTCAGATAACTGTCAGACACAGTGATGAGCTTCACAGAGAGGCTCATTTCAATGCATTCTCATCAGCTGGTACCTCAGTGGAAACAAAGGAGAAAGTTCTTCCTTATGAAAATAAAAATATTAGGAACAAGGTTCCCAGACGGAACTTTATTTATCAAATTGTTTTGCATTATCTGAAACTGATTTATGTATTATTTGTTGTGTAGTAGACCTCTGCTGATTATGATCACATTGTGAGTCGGTGCACCCTCAGTGCTCTCTGTCATATCTGCAGAGTGTTAAATTGACATTGTGTTAGAACTGGACTGGACCACACACTCACTGTTCGTGTGGCTCAGGAGTAATGACTAAAATAGTAAAAAAATCCCACCATGACTGTTCAGTGGTTTCTGTTCAGCAAATGAAAAGATGCAATTTAAATATTTTAGACTTAAAACACACACATCTCTCCTGCTACATTTGACTGACATGTTTGATCAATTAGCATCAGCTGATTTTCCTCTTCCCTGTCAAAACTCTGTCCTTCATATACCTTAAATTCATTTTACAAACCGAGTCTACAGAATCAGATTCACTGTTGTTCCTTCATCAGATGTCTTTGACCTGTAACATTGATGTTCTTGATAATAATCTCTGTGTGTGTGTGTGTGTGTGTGTGTGTGTGTGTGTGTGTGTGTGTGTGCAGAGGCTTTGTGCAGCGCTGTGCTCAGTGTGACCCGTCAGTCACTGAGGACTCTTTACGTCGAGCCAACAGAGCTCTGGATCACATCGTACAGCAGGGAGTCAGAGTCCTGTCTGAACGGCTGTACCTGCACATTAGGGTACATTCACACACACACACACACACACACACACACACACACACACACACACACACACACACACACACACACACACACACACACATTGACATACAAGCCTGTGAACAATGCAGTCAGTGTTTGTCCTTCAGTCCCTTCACCCTCTCTCTCTCTCTGTTGCGTTCAGGCCACGCCTCTGTTGTCTTTACCAATAAAGCTTTGAATTCAATTGAATTTTTACCCATTATCTATAATGAGTGTGTTTACTGAAACACTCAGAATCCACGACACAGAGAGACACTGTTCATCTATTGTTTATGTTCCATCAGGTCAGTTAATATTAGTTTTGATTAGTGGAGTTTCGGTTATTCATATATTCAGTGTATAGTTCAATTAAGATCTTGGTTACTTTAACAAACATCTGTTCTGTATCTTGAACACTGCCTCATGCCTTACCTCACTGTGTGACATCTGAACACAAACCTGTGTGTGTTCATGTCCTCACACTGTTTTCTGTGCAACTTCAGTTTCACAATGAAAAAAACAACAAATGAGACATTTAAATCAATCGAGGAAATAACAAATTACACTACAGGTAGTTAACCTGTTTCCCATATTAATGTAATATATGATATAAGAAAATCTAGACATGCTGTGACCTCTGTATTGATATTTGACTTTATAGTCTATACCTTAGATATTATAATAACTATACTCAATAGTCTTTTGTCTAATCTGGTCTAATGTTCAGTTCTTTTGGGAGAATATTATTGAAATACAGATCTTTTAACACAAAAGATGTGCAGTAGTGTGCAAAACATTTTATGTATGTAGCCTGGAAAATCCAAGACAAAAAAGTCCACAAAGCTGCATCACTCATCTTCTTTGATTTGAGCTATGACAATCAAACAGTCATAATAATAATCTGTGTGTGTGTGTGTGTGTGTGTGTGTGTGTGTGTGTGTGTGTGTGTGTGTGTGTGTGTGTGTGTGTGTGTGTTTCAGCCGTTCTTTGAGCGGCTGGTGAAGAGGAAGTGGCTCAGCAACACAGAGCCGTACGAGCAGATTGAGGCTCTGATCAAAGATCACTTCAAGAAGTATCACAGGATGGACAGTCCTCCATACCAGGTACACACACACATACACACACACACACACACACATGGCACAGCTGGACACTGAGTGAACATGAGTGTATCTTGGTCATGTTGTTCCATCAAACTGAGAACAGATACAGTTTATTAGTTCAATCATCTCTGTCTCTCTCTCGCTGTCTGTCTGTCTCTGTGTCTCTGTGTCTCTCGCCCTCAGCTGCTGGTAGCGGAGGTCCACCGGCGGGTGGTGATGGAGTACCTTCGCTCGGTCATGCGAGGCAGAATCATCTGCACCTCGATGAAGATGAGGAAGAGGATGGCTGGTCGGCTCAGAGACGAAGGCAAACACATCAAAGTCCTCTTCAAAGACCTGGTCAGTGTTAAGGGTCAAAGGTCATGATGACATTTACTAACTCAGTCTGAATGAGGCTTTAGTTACAACTTTGAGAGATTTATCAGCTGCTGTAGTTCATTAATTATAGATGTATGATCCGTCTGTCTGTCTCTCTGTCTGTCTCTCAGGAGTCTCCGTCCAGCTGGTTGGACAGCGCTCTGTCTCACATCTCAGAGATGATCCAGCTGGAGGACGTCCCCTCCATCCAGATGGAGGTGGGAGTTCTGGTCAGAGAGTTTCCAGATGTCAGGTAATAACACACAAAAAACAAAATAAAATACACTATTCCTGTTCTTCTTTTTTTTTTCTTCTTTTCTTCCTCTAGCTTTGCAGTATGTTCAGGTACACACACTGAGAGCCTGTCTGTGAGCTGTTCAGCTCAGCAGATATCTGACTGACTGACTGAATGAGTGACTGACTGATTGACTGACTGATTGACTGGGAGCTCTGCTGGTAAAATCTGTTTCTGTTCATGTCACTAAAACATCGGTATTCATATTAACTGGAGGTGGATGTGGTTTGTACTGTGAGTTAGAAACCATCTGCTCTGATCGATTTTCTGCATGTCATTGTTTTCTACTGGATGAATACTCCTCATTCATCCCACACAGTGAGAAAATACAAGTCAGAATATTTACTTTCTAAACAGGAGTTTGATTATATTATGAGAGGAGACTAGAAATGAGAAAGCTGTTGATATATTGGGGCCTTATTACATATGTTTGAATGAAAGGGTGTTCTGTATATGATGGGAGGAAATCCAGGTTAGAATAAATTTAGTTTGAAAAACGCTCCAGTCGGTACATTTGTTTAAATTAGCATCAGAAATTATTTAATGTGGTTAAAGTAGAAATGTCTGATCTCATAGATAAATATAACACAGGTGTTCAGGTACAGTATTGAATTATACATAATGATACACAGTCACTGTAGTTTTGCTCATGAAGCAGAGGAAAATAGACCTGAAGCATAAAAATACTCAGGCTGCCATCATGAGCAGGTGGTGTGAGGGTGTGAGCAGCACAATCATACACGACCACTGTCCCTGGTGTTACCTTGTCACATCGCACACAACACCAACAATCAACAATTCGTGTTTAATTATTGAAATGCAACAGTGCAAACGCTGCTGTATCAAGATAGGATGCCACCATTGTCATCAACTATTGACTAAAAAATGTTGTTGTTGTCTTTGATAGATATCATTCTTTCATTCATGACATTTCAAAATGCCTGTGATTGACTTTAGCTTCCAAAATAAGGTTGTTTACTCCGTTTTGGTTCTGTGAAAACAAATGGAGTGACACCTCCTGTTCATTCCTCATCCTCTCTCTCTCTGTTTGTACAGGAAGAAGCACGTGTCAGCCATTTTAAACATTCGGGGACTGACTCGGCAGGCGGAGCGTCAGGAGATCCTAAACATCGTCAAAGACATCGAGAGCAGTGATGGCAGCGGCTCGGCCCGGCTGTCCCGGGACCGCGCCCTCTTCTCCGAGGTGCCGGTCACCTCCGAGGTCCACTGCCTGAACGTGGGCCTGAGCCGCATCGCGCTCACCGCCTCGTCCTGCTTCACCACGCTGCGACCGCGCCGCCGCAAAACCCGAGCACCTGTCCAGGAAAGCTCTGACGATGTTCTCTGAAGAGCCGATTTCCAAGGTTCTAGATTTTCCAAGAAGCCCCTGACTGAGTTGCAATAGCATGATGGCGGTTTTTATTTTTAATTATACTCCAGTCCTGATTATTATCCATTAAACCAGCACTGACTGGATTCTTCCATTAGACTGCCGCTTTAACAGAATCCACCAAAAATACCTTTGTTTTTTTGTCTCTTGTCACGCTATAGAGAAAACAGAAGGAATGGGGTGAAACTGATGATGATGATGATGACAATGAGGCTGAATAAAGAACATAACAGAGAGAACTGAGGAAAAAACTGGCCTGAAAAATCAGCTCCTCTGTCAAGAAAAGAATCAGCTCTCGAACAATTTCTCTTTAATGAAAAACTGATTTGAAATCAGAAAATTCTGGTAGATAGAAAAATTAATCCATAAATCTGGGGTTTCTTCTGTTGAAATTATAAAGGATGGAAAATCATTTATTTGGATTTAAACTTCACATGTGATTTTCACCTGTGGAGAAAACAGGGTTGAGGCCTGGTCACACCAGAAAACTGTCACAGCAAAATTCATTAGTGTGTCTTTATTGCCTTCACAGGTGATGCTGAAAGCTTGGCCAGAGACAGGAACTAATGTTATTTGGCAACGTACCAACAGGAGTTAATGTTATGCGGTGATGTAGTGACTGGAGCTAACGTCATGCGGTGATGTAGTGACTGGAGCTAACGTCATGTGGTGATGTAGTGAGTGGAGCTAATGTCATGTGGTGACAGTGATTAGGGCTAATGTAATTTGGTGACTTACTGATTGGAGCTAATGTTATTTGGTGACTTGGTGACTTATGCTAACATTATTTGGTGACTTACCAACTGGAGCTAACATGTGGCAACTTAAAGACTGGGACTAAGAACTTGGTGATATAGTCACTTGGGCTAATGTTATTTGGTGACTTAGTGACTGGAGGTAATGTTATTTAATGACTGGGGCTACCATTATGTGGTGATGTATTAATTAAGGCTAACATTATTTGGCAATGTATCAACTGGAGCTAACATTATGTGGTTATGTAGCAACTGGAGCTAACGTTATGTGGTGATGTAGCAACTGGAGCTAACGTTATGTGGTGACATAGTGATTAGGGCTAATGATATTTGGCACCTTAGTGACTGGAGCTAAAATTATTTTTTGACATAGTGATTGGGGCTATCATTATTTGGCATCATAGTAATTAGGGCTAATGTTATTTGGCGACATAGTCACTGGCTCTAACATTTTAACAGTGAGTGGGGCTAACGTTATTTGGTTCAGTTTTGTGTATTAAAGTTGCTCACTCAAATGCATTAATACAACAAACAAATAGCTTGAATGCTAACTGTTGCTTAAAAGAGTTAGCTTCTCCAACAGGCTAACATTACCTGTACTTAATGGAACATTAACCAGGTTGTATTTTTGAAGTCATTTAGCAGAGTATTTTTTCATAGCTACCACACTACAAGAAAGAGTATCAAGTGATTTTTTTTTGGATAAATGATGATAAAACATGACATTGACACAACTTAAAAGTAGTCTGTAACGTTTCTTTTAACGTTTTTAGTTCTCAAATTTGGTTTAATAAATTTTATTTAATTTAACTGACTTAGCTCTGAAACTTGTGTTGCTATAGAAACTGCTGTGACTAGGCCTCAATGATGTAAAGTCACTGTAATGTTATTTAAAATCACATTTTTGAGACATTACATGTGGGTTTGTTAAGTTTTTTTAGTTGATTTTAACAGGATTACATTTCATGTTTGTACTAAATCACATGCTCCAGATTTGATTTTTTTTAACATAAGGGACCTGTTCAACTGCATTGCTGTTTGACATCAGAACAAACTGCAGGATTTCTGGACTTTGAGCTCGAAGGCACTTTATTGAGGATCAGTAAAAGGAAAGCAGTTCTCTGTGCTGAGGTGGACTCTAGACTGAAGTGCATTCTGGGAAAAAGACCAGAACAAGAGGACTGAGAACCAGCAGCTGGATTTAAGATGAATTTCAGGATTTGTTTTGGGGATCTTGACAGTTCAGGGTTTCAGAGATGAGTTTCTAATCCCAGGACCTGGAGATGCTTTGTGACAAAACTGGACAGTTGTAGTTTTATTGTTGCACACATGTTGACACGTTTTATTCAAAGGTACTACACAAAGATCCGAGTCTCTATCAGCTGATTGTGTATTTAAAGCCGTGATTATAGCTCAAGCTCTTAGGTGTGATGAGGTTTATTAAATGTGAGATTTAGATATAAACAGAGATTAATTATTTCTATATTTCTATTCTTTCTATGTAGAATTATAGACTTTTACTATAGTATCTGGTGTTGATTCAAAGTTTAGATAAAAGGAGAGAGAGGGCTCACTCTGTCGACATTAGAAGGACAACTACAGACTCTTCAGAGACAGACTGAGGACTAACTGGGCTTAAACATCTCATATTTTAATGATTTATTCTGCATTTCCTCACATTTCCACTTTTAATGTTTTTGCATGTTTTAGCTCATAAAACAAGATTAAATTCCTGCTGTTCATTTTACAAACCATCCATCAGTTTTTTATTCTTCATCTTCCTTCCAAGCGTCATGTTCTATAAAAATCAGCTCTTTTTTGTTTTGAAATATCACACTGGTGGATGCTTTGAAAGGATGCTTTGACGTGTGAAGCTCATTAACCAAAAACCTTTTTTAGCTGAACTGCAGTTCAGATCAGAGACACGTCTGTCTGTTCTTCATGTCTGTGGGATGTATGAATGAATTCCTCCTGTACAGGGATCAGCTTTAAATCACAATAAAACACATCAGATCACGGCTGTGCTTTGACTTTTCCCACATATCTCATGTAGAATTTAATTAACTGCTGTCATTTTTAATTTTAGGTAGTTTTATTTTCTAACATAATTTCAGTTTAACTTTAGTTGTAGTTTTTTGTTTTTGATTTAAACACACTGGTGTTGATTATTATTTTGATCGTATTATATAAAAACATTTGGACGTTAAACGCTTGATTTTCTTGAGGGGTCATTAAATAACATTACAGCAAGTTGGATTACCAACCAGGCAAAGGCCTCAGATTTACACAGTATAATTTATATATTAATTTATTAATTTTATTAATCACTAATACGTCATAAATTCACACCACTGAAGTACAACATCTTCAATGGATCCTCCATCCTGATTTTGAGGGGATGACATGCAGCAAAGGGCCCACTGTGGTCTCCTGTTGTCTTCAATGATCCATTGATTGTATCATAAATCACAATTCATATTTAGATTGCCTTTATTCTATGACTAATGGTCCAAAACAGGGCTGGATCTACAGTGGGGCAAGGAGCCTTGTAGAGCCCCCCCGGCTCCCCCCCTAACTTTTGTGTTTTTAAAATTGTACTTGTAAAAAGAAATCACCACTATGTCCACAAGCTTCCCAAAGCATTGAATCAAACAATAAATTGACCAAGAGTGAATAATTGTAAATGTAATCTTAGGCTCAAGTATTTAGCCATGGCCCAGCATTAAATGCACAGAGCGGCCTTCACACACAGCGAGTCTGCCTGCAGCCCGGCAAAGAGAGCAACCGAGCTGCTCCGAGCATCTGGAGGTGGGTTTCCCCAGGTGAAGTTTAAACACACCAATTTAACTTATAGTTAAATTTGTAATGAATGTAATATATGCTAAAGGCAATTCAACAATAAGAGCATGTCCATTAATCATTAGCCAAAAGTGAAATCAATTGCTCGCTTGTGATTCTGGGGTTAAGTTACAACTGACAGGGACAGTGCTAGAACATTGATCATTTTTATTTTGATTAGCTAAGCAGAACTATAGAATCCACTTACTCTCACATACAGTATCACAGCAATGAGGCTGCACAAATAAAACCAGGTTACATCCTTCACTGTCAAACTGGGAAAATAGCAAATACAATGGGAATAAGTAGTCTAAACATAACTGCTTGTGTGCCTGTGATTTATATTTCTTATACTTATTTGCTACATGGCCCTACAGTGTAATGTCATACAAGGATTTTAACCAGAGCTTTTCACATCTTTACTCTTGCAGGCCAGAGTAGCTGGAGTGATTAAAAATGAAAAGGAAATGTAAAAAATGAAAATGCTGAGGACTGAACAGGAGGAAGAGAAAGAAAGAAATGAAAAAGGAGGAGAAGACAGTATGCTGGAGTGAGCAGGAAGAGGAGGAGGCCACAGAAGGAATAGATGAAGAAATAAGTGAAGGAGAAGAGGAAAAAGAAGAAATGAATGTGAGGGCTGAAGATGAGGATTCAGATTCAGAAAGAGGGACAGAGGCATGGAGTGATGAGGAGGCAGATGATGACGACAGGGGGACAGAGGGTCCTCCTACTGCAGTTCCAGCTGGACCACGGTATGTTGTTGTTTTATCTAGTTTTTGTCTTGTGTCAGTCTGTATTTTTAATCTTGTGCCTGCTGCTTTTAAGAGAATGCCAAACTGAATTTCGTTGTAGAAACTAAAATCCCTTGTGTAGTGTGTTGATACAGGGAATGATATAACGATAAATAATTGGAAAGTATTTTTGTGGCTCTTTTGTTGATCCATTTACATATATATGGGGTTTCCCACACACCATCCTTCCATGTCACGTTGCCAAGACCTCTTGCCACCCATTTGCCACCCCATGTAGAATTTTCTAGATCTGCCACTGGTCCAAAACCAAAAGATGTTGGGTTAACTGTCAGAGAAAACTAATGATCAAATATCAATATTGTTGCCAATCAGTTTTGTCTCATGCAATTAATTAATCAATCAACTAATCATTGAAGCTGGTGTCAGAGTAGTGGCTTGTTTCTGGGTGCAAGGAGAAATAATGAAAGTCCCATGTATAATGGTGGTCGGTAGGGGCCCAATAACACAATTTTTCCCCTGGGGCCCCTCGGGAGGTTAATCCAGCCTCGACTACATCTCTAACCCCCAGTCTTTAACCCCAGTCAGCTCTTATTCTGAAGGCAACGCAACTGTTATAAAGTCTCAGCAGAATGAAAATACACTCAACATTACTGGACCATTCAATGATCCATTGTGTTGTTAAACAGTAAAACAGTGACCTCCACTGGACCACTACAGACTGTTACATTCAAGATCTCATGGTGAAATTGAGGGGTCATTTGTGGTGATCAGATGATGTTTTTGGCATGTGAGACATCGTAACGTCTTGGTACAAGCTTCATGATGATGTTTCTAGTCAACTGGTTTGAACACATCACTATTCTCTGTTATTTTGTCTTCTCTTCAAAGTTTTATTTTGAAAGTCTTCACTGGTAGAGTTATTATTTCTGCCTTAACACTGGTTGATGTAATGGTTTGAAATGAGAGTAGGATCATATGTAGTGATGTTACATGTAGGGTTATCAAAAAAAATCGATACTCAGATACTAATCGATACTAAAAATTAGTATTGGATTAGATACTCATTTGCAACAGTATCAATACCAACAGTGCCGTCTTAGCCTCCTCCATTTGACACAACTTCATACAGCACCACTGCAGACAGGCATGCACAGCCCCTCCCCTCAATAGCAGCTGAACACATGAACGCTAGTTGATGTTCACAACACTGTGCTGGCGTCGCCAGCATAAAACTACATTAACATGACAGGTGCTGCTGCTGAAGGACCTTCGCAACCTGTTTTAATTGAAAATGAATAAAGCAAAAGTGGCGTTTGGAATTATTTTGGATTATTATTTTACCTGGCTGGCAGCGAACGTTAACATGAGCCATTTAACTATTAACAATTAGCCAATAGCCACATTAAACGTCTGCTAAGTTTTCATTAAGCTAGTGGCTATGGCTGATAATAAAATGACCAACATTAATGTGGGAGCTAAGTGGTGTTAATTTAACAGGATAACACAATGATTTGTGTCTTAAAAGTGTTATATTTCTCTTAAAGTCCCAGATTGAAGCTGAGAAAAGTCGACCAGCAACTAGACAGAAACAGCAGCAGCCAACCCTACCAACTCTATTTGATTTGAGCAACAAAAATATGGTGCCAAGTGACCAGAAGCACAGGAACTAAACAGGGCTGTAGCTGAATATATTTGTCATATATGTATATACACACCTTACAGTAAGGTTACTGTTTTTTTTTTTTTGCACTACCTCAGACAATGTAAAAGTAGTGTTGTCAATGATGTTATTGTTTGTATTGTTCTAATCTTTATTTAAAACATTTTTATGCATCCTAATTTTTTGTCATTTTTTCTCCCTGTCGTATCAAATATGGTATCGAGTATTGAGTATTTTCCTGGGTATCAATATCGAGTTTGAAATTCTAGTATGGTGACAACCCTAGTTACATGTGAGTTCGAGGCTTTGAGAAATAATTAGAAGAAACCTTATGTTTGTAGAATTGTTATCATAATAAAATTAATCATATCTTTACGAGTGGGAAGATCACTGTCAAAGTAATCAACAGTCGTTGTTACTTAACTGTTGGCTATAATTTAAATCGAGTTTGTATTCATATGCGTTCATCCCCGTACTGTGGCCAGTCTGTGTAACTACAACTATCTATTTTATGCTGCTTTCAGACAGAACATGGCAACGTTCGCGAGCGCTGCATCCACGCAGCCAATTGAAACACAGTAATTGAAATATGGCACACACCAAAAATGGAGGAGAAACTGATCCTTTGTGTGTCTGAATACCCCGAAATATAAGCCCTCTCTTTGCGATAGAGAGGATATGCGGATGGTTGTCACAGTGCACTGTGTTGCTCGCGCTAGCTTGCCGGAGGGCGCGCTGCACCTACGCTTAGCTTGGTGCCAAGACAAACTGTTGTGGCAGCGTTCTGTCTGAAAGCAGCATTAGTGTTATGATCGTGTGTGCACGCTGCCTTCCAGTAGTCACAGTGTGTAACTTACATGTAGGTTCACGCTGGACCACTGGAGGGCACCACACACTTGTCTTCACATTGGATTTTATTCATTTATTTTGATTTATCTATTATTTTCATTAGTTTTGATTTATTATTGAAAATAATAATATATACATTAATGAATGTATAATCATGAGTAGTCATAGTGTCCAACTACACTTTAACTAGATCTAATTACACACTGTGACCACAGGAAAGCAGTATGTGCACATGATTATAAACCAGTATATGATTTATTAATTTCTTCATTCATTTATTGGATAGTTCGCCTACATTTTTTGCATATTTTACTGGATATATTATTAATAATTATCTGATATTTTACTATTTTCCCAGTGTTGTAATAATAATTTTCTAACATTTTGCATATGCGTTTTCAGATGTTCTATTAATGTTTTTGTATTTTTTTATATTTCATTATAATTTTACTAATATATTTCCTATATACTACTGTTGTTTTCAGATGTTTCACTCATTTCATTTTTTGGGATGTTTTACAGATGTTATTTTTTTATATTTTACAAATAATTTTCTACTTTACTACATTTACATTTACTCATTTGTTAGATGCTTTTATCCAAAGTGACTTACAGTGAGTGGCATCACTAAAGCTTAAGAGCAGTAAGAGACCTTGTAAATACTAAGTACTACATCTTTTTTTTTTTATATATTATATTTTTTATATATTTTTTGGGCTTTTTATGCCTTTATGATAGCACAGTAGAGAGACAGGAAATGGGGAGGCAGAGAGAGGGGGAATGACATGCAGTAAAGGGCCGTCCGATGCGGGATTTGAACCGGGTGTCATGATCTGTGTCTGGTTGTGTTTAGTTTTCTGTCTTGTGTCTATGTTGTCTCATCACTTCCTGTTTTATTTTGACATTTGACTCTCCTTTCGTTTCAGGTAACTTGCCCTTCCTCCTGGTGTCTCCCATTGGTCTGATTGTCTTCCCCGCCCTGATTGTTTCCACCTGTTCCCCATTACCTTGTGTATATCTGTCTGCGTTTCCTTTTGTCCTGTGCCAGTTCGTCTTGTTCCATATCCGTGAACCTCCCGGCCCCACGCTCCATGTCATTGTTACCTCTGGTCTTGTTCCTTGTTGCTTGGTTTAGTTTTTTCCTCATAAGAGTGATTTTTGGTTTTCTGGCGTTTGCCTTTTTTCCTCTCAGAGTGATTTTCTTTTTGTCTCTAGTTTGTTACTTTGATACTTTGTGCTTAGTCACGTTATTGTTTGGTTACTTTGTTGTTTCCTCTTAAGAGTGATTTTCTTTTGTACTTTGTTAATAAATATCATTTTGTTGAACTTTTTTGAGTCGTGCATTTGGGTCCTGTCCAAGTTCGAGTCTGACACCGGGGCCTGCTGCAGTGAGGACTGTAGCCTCTACACATGGGGCGCCTGCTCAACCCACTGCGCCACTTGACACCCCAGTACTACATCTTTTTAATAAGTGAAGGAGATCATGTAAAGAAGTGCAGTGAAAATGCATAGTTAGTGGTATTTTTTATTTAAGTTTTTTCTTTTCTTTTTTTTTTTTTTGATATTTACTAATAATTGGATATTGTAGTGATCTTTCTCTGATATTTCGGGAGGAGCATCACAGTTGAAAACATCTGATTTGGTGGTTAAGATGTATTTGATGTAATCACAACGTCCCTGGTTTGATTCCAGCCTGAGACATTAGTTGCAGGTCAAACACCATCTGCTGTCTGATGAAAGCAACACAATCAAGTTTTAGTAGAATATAAAAGATAATCAATTAAAGGGGCTGTTTGTAAGTTTTCTCTGCTGCTGAAGAATGTTGCTGGGAGCAAGAATCCACATTCTTGAAGGCAGCAAGAGTAATTGTCACCTGACTAGAGCCTCAGCTATCTTTGTCTTTATAATACAAGAGGTTAAAATACTACGCCCTCTGATGCTAAACTCTTTTAGACTGGTAAGTAAACAGCAGCAAATAATAACGTTAGCTATGTAGCAATAGCGAATTACAAATAACTGCTTTAAAAGTACAGAATAGTATAGCGTTTTCAGTGTTTTGCAGTCAAGTTTTTTTTTTACTGAATTCATTGTTTAAAATCTGTTTAAAAAGTATTTACTAGATTATTTACTTTTACTTGAATCATCAGATTTGCAGCAAAACGACTCAAAAGTGAAAGTTTGATGCAATTTATTGAAGTCGTCCATCCACAGAGTAAAATGTTTCACAAGTGTTAGTGGGAAGTTTCCTCCTACAGAGATTAAAATATCACCGACAGATTTAAATACAATAAAAACAGAATGAAGACACAGTGATACCTCCCCCTCCTCAGGTAATATAGAAGTCCCACCCACTTGATTTTCTGTACCTGGTATTCTCTGTTAGAGTCTCAGATTGACAAGGATTTCTACACTTTAACAAACCAAAACCAGTGTTTGGTCTTTAATATAAACACAGACCTCTCCTATCTTAAATCTTTATCACCAAAAACAAGCATTGTGTTTTAATAAAGTTTGATGAAAGAAATTGTCTATGATGTCACTGTTAATGACACAATACTTTTTTTCCTGATTGTTTTTTTACATTAAATTTTCATCCTGATAAATCAGTCTGCCATTGTTAACACATGTTCATGTTTGTCATTTTATTTTGGCGGAGGATGGAGAGGGGCGGGGCTTCACTGCGTCATCATTTTCCAAAATAAAATAAAAACGAACAAATGAAACATCAAATAGCACCAACATTAATTTCAGGCTAAATAAATACTCTGATGACATTTACAGTAAAAATATAAAACGGTTGAGTTCAAACATATTTACAAATCACAGAGAGATAATACAGTAACAGAACCAGGACTAGGACCAGACCAGGACTAGGACCAGAAACTGAAACAGGATCAGATATAGAAGCTGAACTGAAAGCAGGAAGTCACTTAAAGTGAAGTTTTTAAATATGTTTTCATAAGTTCATTTTTTTATTGTTATGTCATGTTTTTATATGAAACTATCAGACAAATATTCAAGTGAACTTTATAACACAAAGAAATATTCAAATCAACAAAGTAAAGAACGAAAAAGACTTTACAGGATGAATGTGGAAGATAAAAACTCAGCTCTCATCCGCTTCTGGTTCTGAACCTGTCCTGGTTCTGGTTCTGGTTCAGTGCTGCAGCTCATCTTGTTCAGATTGTCACTACTCGTTTGTTTAGAGTTAAATGAGCCTTGAGTCCAATCATTTCTGTGTTAAACTGCAGACATTTCTTGGTTTTTACACTGAAACTGAAACATGTAAAAGAAGCTGAGGGAGGAGCTCGAACGTCTGATCTGAAGAAAACTGGAACAAAAACACATTTCAAGGTTTAAGGTCAAATATATTCACAGCTTCTCACACGAGTCTGTCCCTACTTATTCACAAAATACTGACTGACCAATCACACAAAGTCGCTGCCTCTCAGCTTGCCAATCAGAATGCATTTTCACTGCACTTCTGGTTGGGCTGTGGGCGGGTCTGGAGGCGGGGATAAATTTCACTCAGGTGTTCCTCTGATGACGAGAGAACGTCACTCCAACGCAACAACCAATCAGCTGTCACTGGATGTGACATCACAGGATGTGACTTTGCAATGTGAAAACCTTGTAACTTGTCAATAAGCCAATGACGACATGATCTACCAGGTTTTAAAATGCACTTAAGTATGTAAAACCAGTCTGGTTTCCAGAGCAACGATATTTTTGTGATACAAGGTTTTCACCTGACAACAGTGACAGTAATAAATATGACTTGGAACAAATGAAAAATTATTCTGTTAAATTCATCACAACATCACGTCAGGGTTCAAACTGGGGTTGAACGATACGAGTCAAAGTTATTAATGAGTTACTACTGAGATGAGAGATTTCACTTTGTAAAGTACATTGTCGAGAAAAGTGCCGTATAAATAAAGTTTATTATTGTTATAAGTTTATTATGTGAGTGCTGGTTCTGTGCTGCTGTTGGCTGAAGGTCTCAAACTCTCTCTGACCTCACATGTAGCTGAAGTTATAAACAGGACGGGGCCAAAAGAACTTTTCAACTTTTACGTTTGGACAAAATTATAAATAAATAATAACATTTTATGCAGAAAACAGCATGTGTGCATTGAACAGGTTGGCACAAAGGTTATTTATAATTATTGATTATCCATCATAAGGTTTCCTTTGACTGGTTCAACCACAAATATTGACAAACAACTCACTGTTTTTACTTGTGTAAGATTGAAATATTTCTGACTTTAGCGCCTCCTAGTGGTAAAAGACAACACTGAGGAAACCAGCACATAGACTTCACCAGACAAAAATATTAACAAGTTCATTCTTAGCTGGACACAAGCAGGTAAAATAAACTGTCTGATCATGTTGTCAGGTCAGTTGTCCTACTGCTGGATTTTCAACCCGCTTGTGGGAGATACAGGTATGTTATACTGAAGATCTCCCAGTACCTGGTTCTATGTGTTGAAATGGATTAGGACCTCTGTTTATTCCAAGAAAATGGTTTTGTCTAGAGGAAACCTAGAAAAACTGTTAAGATCAAAGTCCTGGTTTTGATCAGATGACCTATTTATTAATGAGTCTTTGAGATCAAACATCATGCAAACTAAAATGAAACAGTGACATCACACAACCTCAGTTCAAACATCCATGACGTTTGGTAACAAGATGTTAATCAGTTTGATCATTTGTACTGCTCTGACTCACTCCTGTTGATCTTAACAGGATTGATTGATTGACTGATTAATTGACTGATTGATTGATTGGCAGCGTTATCTTTAACATGACAGTCTCTCCTCACAGAGACAAATAAACGAGTCTTGTCTTGTGTGTCCCCTCGGTGGAAGAGGAGCTCCTCCCTCCTGCAGGAGGAGGTGGTGAAGCATCTCCTCACTCCCTCCTGCGGGAGGAGGTGATGTTCCCCCTACTCACTTCCTCATGCAGACGTTGCACCTCCCGATGTTCCCCCTCTGCTGCCAGGCCTCGGTCAGCGTGGTGGAGGGCTTGTTGGAAGTGGAGGTGCTCGTGTCCACTCTGGTTAACCAGAAGCTGTAGATGTTGGCAAAGTAGTGGCAGGTTCCACGAGGCCCCTGACACTCCACGAAGGGCTGGGCCCTGAAGTCTGTCAGACAGCTACCTGATGATGTCAGAGACTGGCCGCCGCCCTCATCACCGGCACCTGTATGCTGCAACACACACAGCAAATTACATCATTATCAGGTGAGAGGCAGACTTCCTCACAACAGACAACAGTATTAGTTACAGCACCAGTATCAGTATTTTACAGTATATTTTAACTTTAGTTAAGTTTAAGTTTAGTTTTAAGAGTACTAATGACAGTACCATTATTTTAATAATTATTGTTGGTATTGTTGGAGTAGCAGTAGTAGTGACATTTGCATATATAATATTTGCATATGCAGTATTAGTAGTAGTAGTACCATAGTCTTGTAAGTGTTAGCAGTAGCAGGTATTAAGTGGTACGATAGGTTGTAGTAATTTCAGTGGTACTGCAATCACAGTATCAGCAGCAATATTAGCAGTGATACTGTAGTGGTAGTGGTAGTAGTAGTAGTAGTAGTACTAGTAGTAGTAGTAGAAGCACTCTAAGGAGTGCAGTAACAATATTAGCTGTAGTATCAGCAGCTGTGTTATTAGTAGTATTAACAGCAGTATTAGTATTGCGATGACAGTATTAGCAGTGGTAATATACACCACCTCCTCCTTCTCATATCACTGTTATGCAAACGACACACAACTATACTTGTTGTTCCCACCAGATGACCCCACTGTCTCTGAGCAGATCCCAGCCTTTCTCTCTAACATATCTCCTTCACTTATTAAATAGATGTAGTACTTAGTCCTTACAAGGTCTCTACTGCTCTGAAGCTTTAGTGGTGTCCCTCACTGTAAGTCTCTTTGGAGAAAAGCTTCTGATAAATGATTAAATGTAAATGTAAATGTAGTTGTAGTCCAGTAGTAGCAGTACTTTTAGTACTGCAGTAGCTGCATTAGCAGTAGAGTTATTAGTATTATTAGCAGCAGTAGTAGTACTGCAATTAGCTGTACTCTCACTACTGCAGTACCCACCATGAGGAAGGAGTATCCGGTCCACAAGCTCGTCCACTTGGGGGGGCAGTCTGGCTGGTCGGCGGTCTGGCTGTGCAGTGCGACAGGTGCGGAGGGGGCTTCACACACTACACAGCGGCTGATGTGATCTTCAATGGAGGGTCCGCCCACAGGTATGCTGGGTACGGCTGCCGTTGTCGACAACCAATAGGATTTATCATTACGACTGGCGTAAGAGCAGGCTCCCATGTTACAGGAGGAGAATGGCATGGTGGAAAAGACTCGCATACACGACCCCGCTTGACCTAGAGATATCATCAGTACAAATATTAATCAAATATAAATCTAATTTGAGTTATCAAATATTTTCAACAGCTCAATTTACAATAACAAAGATCTTTGAATCAGTTCTAATGAAGGAACATGTTATTGTTTATGGAGGTATGTCAGTGGTTCTCCAAGAGAACTGCAGGAACACCTTGAGGAACTCCTGAACTCGACTGACACATCCTCTTTAGAAGAGGTCACAAAGCTCTGCAGTGACACCATTTGTGGATTAGATTCATCCTCAGCCCTGGACACTGTGGTGCTGTGTTGGTTGACTCTTAAGCATCTTGTGGAGGTTTGGGGACAATTCCTGTGGTCTGGTAGACCACAAAAAGAGGACCATAAAGTGCTCCAACAAGTGGGGTATCACAGTGATCAGCCTCCCTCGTAACGTTTCAGTCAGGCTGCTGAAAACAGACTCAGGACCAGCTTTTTACTCTGTTGGGGATCCTGGAGAAATCATAGGAGTTTGCGCAGTCTTGTTGAGACTCCACCAAGCACTGTTGCAGATTCTGTTTGTCATTAACAGAACCTGAAGGTGCAGTTGATGATCTGGTTCTGTCGGCTTCATTGGTGTTGGAAAAATTGTGATACTTTATGATTAACATAACCATCTTAAAGGGAAACTGTATTATCCTGAATAGAACTTTCCATTATTGTGTGCATTGTGTTTACTTTTAAGACAGGTGTTGTCCGAGGGAGCGCAGTGACCTTTGCTGATCCTCCTGACCACTACACCAAAACATTAACTATGATAAGGCTCTATTATGTCTGTCTCATTTCAGCAACAATGCAAGGTCACTGTCACGTATTCTGTGTATAAGATTCTGTGTGAATCTTGCATCCGTGGAACATTTGCACTGTGAGCTCTGGTGTGTAACTTGTTCCCTTGCTGCAAGAATAAATATCCTACTCTTATAATTTTCAGACGGTGTTCCTGAGTTTTATTTGATAATTTTCCTAACAACTTGGTCCTTCGAGCTGGATCTCAACAACCTCTCCTACTGTCCAGGACAGGACCTGAACCGTGCACGGGGGAGTCCTGGGGGGCTCCTGAACTAAAGCCCTCCAGCATAGAAATTTGCTGTTAAAAAGAGGCCAGGATCTGCTGGACTGTGGGAAGGTGACGAGTCCACGAACAGAGAGAAACCAGGACGTCTGAATCATAAGGTAGGAGAGTCAAGTTAAAGACTATAAATAGGTAAAGTCAAGCACAGACTTATAAAATAGGGTGAGTCCAAAGTCTGTGTGAGAAGACTACAGGAATAAATAACTCCGTGCCGCACGTTAAAGAGAAGGCCTAAAATAGTTCGGGAACTATGGAACAGTAAACTGGGTTTTACTGATAAAAATAAAAATAATAAAAAAAAATAAATAAATATTGAAAAAATAATAATAAGAAAAAAAAGAAAAAAAAAGGTTGCAACGGGGAGTTGATAGAATATTTTCTGAAAGTGGTGTCTTGATGAGTAACAGAGAGGGGAAACCTCACGGTGTCAACAAACTCTCTGGCCGTGGAAACCTAACGGTGATAACTGAAGCGGTGCTCATCAAACAGGACCAGTTGCTCGGGTGAACTCCATACAAACTGGTTGGCCACAGATAAGAAAATGGGGAATTGCAGTAGTTGCTGTTTTAAAAAAAACAATGATCCGATCACTGGAGATGTAAAATTAATGTTCATAAGGGACCAGGATAACATAAAATTCTTAAAAAAGTGGGAAAAGAAATATGGATTTTCGGGAAAACTAGTAACGAGTGACTGTCAGGAGTTAGTGAGGAGAATAGAAGAAAAAACTAAGGGAAAACCTAAAAAGAGTAAAAATGAGGGTCTTATACAAGCAAGAAACTGGTTAGCAGAAGCAAGGAAAAGGCAAGAAGGAATAAAAAAGGGTAGAGAAGAGGAAAAGACAAAGACTGAAGTAATGACTTTGACTGACAGAGAGGATGACAATGTAGTAGTGAGGAGAGGCCACAGAGCAGACATTGCTTTGGGACCAGTGCCAGATCCTCCACCTTACCCAGACCCAGACTTAAGACAGTTAGAACAGACAGGTCCAACAGCTCCTCCACCACCGGCAGCCGCACCCACAGTTACCCCATTAAAAATGCAGAAAATGGATGAAGGGAGAGAATTAAGATCAGGGAGAGTAGGGTCTGTTTGGAGAGTTGTAAACCAAAATAAAAACCCACAATCCTATCCATTGCAAGAGACAGAAACACTCCCACTAATCGAAGTGCCAAATCCACATGGGGATGAGGCACATCCAACAATGTTTGTATACCGACCCTGGACTAATGAGGACGTAGAGCATTACTATTCTAGACTTAAGGAGATCTTTGACACATATAGCGGAGTTTCTCCACCTGCAGACATGGCTAATGACAGTCCGTATGAACAACAGCTCAAAAATGCTCTCCTCAGTGGAGTCCAACCTCAAATCAGTAGCTTCGTAATGAAATACATGATAGATTATCGTACTGGACGTTTGACTAGTGTTCTGGAATATTGTAAACATGCAGAAAGCCATTTTAAAAATAAAAAAAAGCAGAAAAGGGGGCAGGCTTTTGTGTTTACTGATGAGGGAGGTGAGACTGTGTATTTTCAGACAGAACAAGGAAGGGGACGGAGCCGGGGAGGAAGGGCTGGTGGACGAGGCAGAGGGCGTGCACCACAGGATGGCGGGGACGCCTGTTACATCTGTGGTAGGCAGGGCCACTGGGCACGTAGCTGCAGAGAAAGAAAATACCAACCCCGAAGGAGGAGGGGGAATGGAGGTGACTGGACAGCATGACTAGAGGAAGGTCAGACAAAACTTGCACCACACACAGAAACAGAGAGTGCAGGAGAAGATAGTGAAACACTGAACTTACAACATATTGATTTAATGTTAAATCAAGAAATAAAACCAGAAGTTACTCTAATAATTGGAGATGTATGTATATAGTAAGAATTCTTATTCTGTGATGAAATGCTTTAATTGAGTTTTTTATTTTCTGGAAGTTCAAGTATTAACAGGAAGGAAATGTTGGAAAAATTGTGATACTTTATGATTAACATAACCATCTTAAAGGGAAACTGTATTATCCTGAATAGAACTTTCCATTATTGTGTGCATTGTGTTTACTTTTAAGACAGGTGTTGTCCGAGGGAGCGCAGTGACCTTTGCTGATCCTCCTGACCACTACACCAAAACATTAACTATGATAAGGCTCTATTATGTCTGTCTCATTTCAGCAACAATGCAAGGTCACTGTCACGTATTCTGTGTATAAGATTCTGTGTGAATCTTGCATCCGTGGAACATTTGCACTGTGAGCTCTGGTGTGTAACTTGTTCCCTTGCTGCAAGAATAAATATCCTACTCTTATAATTTTCAGACGGTGTTCCTGAGTTTTATTTGATAATTTTCCTAACAATCGGGATGACAGCCAGCACCTACCAGTCTGAGGTTGTGGTCTGGTGGAAACCAGTTGATTGTTCCCTTTAGGTTGAGAGGGAGTTACTGCCCCAATTGAAGGAGTTCAAGTATTATCAGCAGAGTCAGCAGTCACCTGGACTCTGTCTCAGACTATGGTGCTTCAGAGGCTCTGTTTCAGTCCCCTGTTCCAGTACTCAGCTGTGGTCCTTGGCAGGGTGTCTGGAGTCAGCCTCAGAGACAGGGTAAGGAGCTCAGAGGAGAACCACTCCTCCTGTATATCGAAAGAAGTCAGTTGTTGTGGTTCAACACCTGGGTTCCTCCCTGTGGAGGTTTTTTGGCCAAGAGATCCCAGAGCAGACCCAGAACAGACTGGTTGATTATATATCCCTTAAGACCTGGGAACACCTCAAGCTCTTCCAGGAGAAACTGGAGGATGTGGCTGGGGGAAGGGATGTTGGGCTATCCTTCTTAGCCTGGATGGATGGATGGATGGATGTTTTACATCATGTATTAAGCCCAAGGGCCCTTGTTTTCTGCTTACAGTTGTGTATATATTGTTTTATAAAATGAGATTCTTAATGGTCTCAGCTCGTTAACCAGTCGGACAGGGATTTGTTGTGTTTGTGATGATGTGTAATGTGTATGTGTTGGTGTTTCTCTCTACAGATCTGTGAAAATGAATTTACCCTTGGGGACAATAAACAAACTAAATAACTAACTAACTAAAGACCCTGAGATCACAGAATCCGTGACTCTAGAATAGGGACACTGGTGTCCATTCCTGAGGCCTGGCCTGAAAGAGGTTTAGGGGAGTGCAGGAGGGGGGTGGTGAAGGAGCACCTGGGAAAAAGCTCAGGAACAAGAAGTAAACAAATCATCAACATCTGGGCACAAGTCCTGGGATAGGGTAGGTCTGGAGTAAGACTAAGGTGTTGAGAATGTTGGCACTGAATTATCTGTGAGACTATATGACAATTTTTAGTTCAACAGCATGAGAACCTTAGTATGTGTCTTTATAAGTTTATGTGTGTAATAGATACCAAGGTCCTGAGTGTGAGCCTTCTCCTGGCCCTCCAAGTAGAGCAGACTGTATCCGTTCCACAGGGGCCTCATGTTTAATGGACAGGTGGGAATGTTCTTTGATTGGCTGTGCCTAACCAACAGGAAGCCCGAGTTCAAGTTTTTGGATATTCCAGGAGAACCGCGGTCACCGACTGGACCAGCATCACCTGAGACAAAGACCACGACAGGAAGTTAAATTAACAACACAAATCCACACAGATGACACACAACTGTACAAACAAGTCTAACACAAACTGTTGAGTAAATACTGCACTGTGATCGGTGGCCTGCAGGCTGAGGCCTTTTTATAATGTGGTCTCAGAGGCTCATTTGTTTCACGACCTGGATGTATGTTACCTTCAGATAGCTGATGCTCAGTTCACTGTCAGGCTTAATGTTTTTATTCATCATGAAGTGAAAACATGAGATCCACTAACAGAAAAAGTAAAACTCAGTCATGACTGGATTCATCTCCTGAGGGGTCCTGGGTATTGTTGGATCCCTGCTAACTCCCAGTATAAATTTTAAAAATTAAAAATTTAAAAATTTAAAAATGTTCCTGGACAACAAGAAATCAAACAGAGCTCTAGAACTGAAAAATGAATCCATTAGTCCACTGATAGAAAGTTAAAACACAATAAGTTTGCTCATTGATTGAGTCACTGAGTTACTCTGTTACCCACTTTTCACATATATGAATAATTGCAAACTTAACATTTTTTTGTTTTTGACTGTTGGTCTGATAAAATGAAGCCATTAGAATGTGTTAACTACTAACTATTTTCCGATATTTTAACATAAAGAGACCTCTCTTACACCAAAGTGAACTGGCTTTGCTAGTTTCAGACACACACATTTTCCCGTCCGGCTCCAAAGTTGAAATAGCAAATACACTTGCTCCCATCTGAGCGCCCATGGGCATGTTGGTGTTAAACTGAGGTGTGGTCAGGAACATTGTTGGTGCATTCTTATCTTGAGGCTCCTGAAAGTGATTGACCAACAGAAACCTGGTCTGAAGGGTGCATTATCAAGAGAATGATATAAGCCTACACAGGCAGGCACACAATGAGCTTATGCACAAGTGAGTGAGCCACAGTATTTCCCATTAATCACCTTCATAACAATAATAATAATGATGATAATAATAATAACTTTATTTATATAGCACCTTACCCTACAGAGTTTACAAAGTGCTTTGACAATCAACACAAAAGCAAAGTTTATTCACACTTCTCATAATGTAACATAAAATAGGTTGTGGTTTGTGTCATTACTTCTTTGCCCCTAAGGACACACAGAGCTGTTCCTCCTGGTGCAGGACAACGCCCGGCCTCATGAGGCCAGAGTGTGTAGGCAGTTCCTGGATGACAAAGGCATTGATGCCATTGACTGGCCCTCACCTTCCCCTGACCTAAATCCTGGGGGGACCCCGGACATTTTCTTGCTTTGCCAGGTTGGTAAATCAAGGCTTGTTCATAGTTCAGTTATAAAACCTGATTGGCTGCTGACATCACCAGGGATGTATCAGCATCTGGTTAAAAAGGAGCTCAGCCAACTTCACTGCCATGTTGTTGTTTTTGCTCTGTGTCAATGACAGCAAAAAAAAGTGATTCTACAGAGGACGAGTGGACTCAGGTTCTGGTCTGTACTTATGTTCTTGTGATGCATCATCAGTCACAGATCAAGTCCTGTTCACATTCAAAGTCCACATTGAACCACGTCCAGGTCAAATAACCACAAGGGTTTTTCCACATTTTATCAGGGACACTTTGGGAGCTGACTGTGTGGACTTGGGGTTGCCAAGTATCCAGTGTTGTGCCAGTTCACACTTTAAAAGAACTAGTTCAAAGTTCAGTTCATACAGATGAAAATGAACTACTTCACATTAATAGTTCATTTATTAAAATTTTGACAGTTCACTGTTGCAAAAATGAATTAGTTCACGTTCATTTGTTCCATTTTTTGTTTTTCACCAGCCTCTAATCATTGCCAGTCCCAATCTAAATGAATGATTCTTCATTACTGAAGAATCACAGACATGAGTTACATTTAAAATCTGTATATAAATATAATCTGTCTGGTTCTTCACTTGTTTGTTCATAAATCTGCTTCAAATGCCCAAACAAACTGGCTTCAGCAGTGGTAGATGCGTCTGCACCGTCTGTACCGCTAGCACCAGCCAAGCCGGGCTGTGTCTGCTGTAAAACTGTCATAAAACGTGAGCAGCACATTCATGTTCATCATTTGTAAACTGATTCATTCAGTTCAGGGTTCACAAAAAATATCTAGGTGTTCAATGAACAACGTTCATTGAACCAGCGGTGACGGTGGAGATTTTGAGCCTGGGAATTTTGACATTTTCTCAGGTGAGATTAACAATAAAAATTTTATTAAGATGTTACAGAGACATGAGACTGGCGTCCCCTCAGCAGCTCACATCCCGGGTCCCAAGGTGACTACCATGGTCTCAGGGAGAACAGTCTTACCTTGACGAGGCCTAGTAATTTACCACTTACCTAGTAAAAAATAATAAGTAATTATAAAAAATAAGTGCAATTATGAAAATCTGACCTTAAGTAAACCAACTACGTAAAACAACATAAAACTAATAATAAGCGTTAGACAATCAGATTATCATAGACAGGTGGGGGTGTCACCTTTGGCTCCATCTACTCCTTGCTCCCCCTGCAGGCCTGGCTCTCCTTGGTTTCCGTCTCGACCTGGGGGCCCCACAAAGCCTATTGGTCCCTCAGATCCAGGATTCCCCCTCATACCTGGAACACACCAGCCACTTTATTAATCAGCTGATGCCAGGAGTTTAACTTGGGAAGGCTTTATTTTCCATCTGCTGTGAATCAGCTGAGCTGGTTCTGGATTTTATTTTCCTGGAATCAGATTTGTTCCAACAGAAAATAGTCTGAATGGGACCTGGTCCACTTCCTGTTGCTCACCTTTGAATCCCTTCAGGCCATTTTCTCCCTGGAGGCCAGCCTCTCCAAGTCTACCAGGGGGGCCAGGGGGGCCCGGGGGACCAGGCTGTGGGGGAGGGTAAGTAGGGCACGGGGAGACTCCGCCTCTTTCTCCCTTTGGACCCACTGGTCCATCAAGTCCTTTTGGTCCTGGAGGCCCTCTCTGACCAGTACAACCTCTAGGGCCCTGATTACCAGGTAGTCCCATCAGACCTTGTGACCCCTTCATACCTGATCTCACACACACACACACGCACACACGCCGCACACCACACACAACACACACACACACACACACACACACACACACACACACACACACACACACACACAAAATTAGATGTGGAAGCAGTCAGTGGAGTCACTCAAACACTCACCATTCCAGTGTTGTTGAGGTATAACCTGCTCTACAGAGAGCTAGCGAGTTAGCAGTTAGCTCTCTAAGTGAGGGTCTGTCTCTGATACATGGAGAGGGTCTGACCTTTCACTCCACAGTCTCCAGGGTTGCCTGGCAGTCCTTTGGGTCCCAGAGATCCCTTTGAGCCAATTTGACCCCGGCATCCTGAGTCCCCATTGTCCCCTTCATCCCCAAGTACTGGAGGGTTAGGACCTGGATCCCCCATGTCCCCAACACAACCTGAAACACCAACCCAGGTAGGGGTCATCCAGTGTGATCTGCTGAAATTTATTAAACCTGAATGTTAAAGTCTGACCTGGCTCTCCATCTGGTCCAGAACAACCAGGATCTCCACCTGGGCCTGAGACTGGATTTTGACAGTTGGGTCCACGTTTACCTGGAGGTCCAAAACTACCTGGAGGTCCTGCAACAACACATGAAAACACATTATGGACACAGAGTCAGAGTGAAGGTCTGGTCTTCAGATGGATCAGTGATGTTAACATCCCTACTGCTCTGACTCAATGTATCACACTGTTAAAGACCTTTGGGTCCTGGGGGGCCGTTGGGTCCTGGTTGTCCAGGCTGGGATGGACCAGAGGGACCTGAAGGACCTGGAGGACCCTTATCCCCTGGAAGACCTTGGAGACCCGGAGGACCCTGCACACCCAGACCTAAAAAGACGAAGGACATTTAGAGGAATCTGTTTTTTTTAACATTATTTTAAAACTAAATATGTCTCTAACTGAACTCTGACAAGAAGAGGTTCATCAAGATCCTCCCACCATTATCCTCTTGAAGATCTGCTGTAAAACCAGATTTGTGTGACTCTGGACCACATGTTGAACACAGTATGCAGTCACCACTTCATTATTGCCCCTTCATCCAAGTTTTCATCATATTCTCATTTCTCACATGTAGAAACTTGTCCAACCACAAAATCACCAACAGGTCAGGTTCATGCCTAGCACAGCTGTCATCACATCAAGTATGGAGCTTTGGTCGAAGAGTTCTGGTCTAGAGTCCCTATCAGACCCAACCCACTTTCTTCAAAGACAAAGGTATATGTTTGTTTTGGAGACAAATAAATAACAATGACCTAAACCTGAACCTGAACCTGAACCTAAACCTGACCCTGAACCTGAACCTGAGCTTGACCCGACACAGAGTCGGTTGCTGGAACCAATCAGGTTACGGTCAGGTTGCTGAACTCTACTTTGGTTGCATGATATCAGGTGGTTGTGTATGTGTGGAGATAAAAAAGATGACAATGGGTTTTACCTCTGGTCCCCATGTCCCCTTTCACTCCTTTCAGTCCATCCAGTCCATGAAGTCCCAGTGGTCCAGGAGGACCTGATGCAAAAAACATCCAGAAGAAAAATTTAAACAAACATGTACACTGTAATCTGTCAGGTCCATAAAGGTTTGGTTTGCAGCTACACTAATGTTGGTTATTTACATTGTGGCATCATATCCACCTGGTATCTACCTGCCAGGTGAGTCTAGACAATGACATCTGATCACCTTTATATTTACACCTGGTAACAACAAGATCATTTTAAGTGAAGGGACGTGATGTGGGATACTCTTGAGGGACCACTATGACATGCAGGTGTGGGGTCATGTGACAGAAAGAGACGGCTGTAATTAGACTAAAACTGTTAACTGCGCTAGTATTTTATTGAATCTGAACAGTTCCAAATCTGCTTAATGAATCCGAATCCTTTTGAATTTTTTCTTGATCCAGATCAGATATCCATCTGGAGACAGCAGGTCACCTCCACCCTCTTCCACTGAAGGAAAGCTTCTCTAAAAACCTTTTTAAAAAATCTAACATGGACACATGACAGCAGGTCTGGGTTTGAGTTCTGACCTTGGAGTCCCGGGCAGCCCTGCGCTCCTGGAGGACCATCAGCACCTGCTTTACCAGGAAGACCTGGACAACCTGGACGACCTCCGGGACCTGAAGGACCGGTCACACCTGAAATAAACCAGACAGACAGGCAGACAGGTTTAGGGTCAGTAGCTTGTATGACTATAACTCCGGATGTAAATCCGGTCTTCCTCCCATTCTGCTCCCAGACAGATTGATCTGATGCTGGTTTTTAATGGTTTTGGTTGGTATCAGGTCACACAACTCAGCTCATGTTACAGAGTAAAGGTAAAATAATGATGAGGTCCAGGAGAACCTGTTTACCTGGTGAACCTGGGTCTCCATGGTGGCCTGGATCTCCTTTGCATCCTTTCTGTCCCGGAGGCCCGAGGAAACCAGGTCTTCCGGGATCTCCTCGAGGTCCAGGAGGTCCTGAGTGAGAGAAATATTCATACAGAAACTCACCTGATGGTTTAAACAATGATGACATGTTTTATAATCGTTTTCATTACAAAACACATTGCTCTGAGTAAGCCTCACCTGTGGGGCCAAAGTCTCCAGGAGGCCCCCTGTTTCCAGGTAGGCCAGGAGAACCAACAGAGTCTCCTTTATCACCTGAAACACAAACATAAACTTTATACAACAAGCTGCAGGAGTCAAATCTTCTGTCTCTTTTATTTCATGTATGAAAAGCATCAAATCAATCTGCTGAGTCATGGTGGTCGGTTGACTTTGTACCTTTCTGTCCCGTACATCCTTGGTGACCAGGCTCTCCAGATTTCCCTGGACATCCTGGGTCACCCTGAAACCACAAATGATAACGATAACCACAATCAATATTTCTGAACAGGTCTTTTGTTAGACCCACCTTTGAATCTTCAAGTTGAAATCTTAAAGTTACCATGTGCAGTCACAAAGACCTGAGACAGTCCAGCCTGTACAGGTGTGATGAGCAGCTGTACTTCCTGTTTCACTCTCAGGTTAGGTTTCTGTAGTCACACTCTCAGATATCTCTACATCATTATATCTGACCAATGAACTCTTTTTTTAACCTCTTTTTCTTACCTGATCTCCAGTTGGTCCAGGGAAGCCAATGAGTCCTGGAGGTCCTTGACGTCCAGGTGGTCCAGGGGATCCTGACATACCGCAGGAACCTGGCAGTCCTGGGCGTCCAACAATACCTGGGGGGCCATTGCTGCCTGGACACCCTGGCTTACCAGTAACGCCTCGCACACCTTTACTTCCTGTAGAGATGTGTTTGATAATAAAGGATCAGTCTGATGTTACTGTGTCACAGACCCTCATTTCTGCTCTTATCTCTTGTTCCTGTGGACCAGTTGTAGGGCTTGCAAAAACTTCACCAACAACATCTGTTGTACCACTGATGCGTACCCTCTCCAGGAAATAGCCACAGCCTTTCATCCTGAGTCCATCAGTCACAAAAGCTCACACCTTCTCTTGCCAACTCAACTTTTACATGTCTGAGGAGATTCTCAGTCATCCAGATCATGCTTTGTCTACTTGCTCTCCAAAGGGAATTGGACTTGCTTGAGGTTCTTGAAAATGTTTCTTTAGGTCTAACTGACTCATGTGGAAGTAACTAAACAAACTGCCAGAAATAAAAATGAAAGGAATAAAACCCAGAACACTACTGAGTTTAAGTTTGAGCAGAGGTGGTGACTGACTGAGATGTTTGTCCCTCTGGGTTTACAGTAGCTATGTATGACAAACCCATGCACTCAAACCATCCTCACTCAACTCAATACAACCTGACTGGACTGGACTTGACCTGACTCGCTTTGACTTGTCCTGACTTCACTTAAACCAGCTCCACTTCACTCAACTCGGTTCCACCTGACCTGACTTCACCTTCATTCGTCCTGACTCAACACAACATGACTTGACACACTACATGACTTGTCTCGACTTGACCAGTCTCAACACACCTTGATCTGATATTTATACGTTTAGTGCCTGTGTTATTTTACATTTTGATTTAATTAGTTTTAATGTGTTCAGGCCATTTCTTATTTCTGCTGCTGCCATGAAACATATGAACAAACATGGCAGATCTCTGTTGATTAACTGTAGAGATGTGAACTCATACTGGATAGCTAGCAATGTGTTTTCAGACTTGTTGTGGTTGTTAAATTGTTACCAGCTCATGGTTTACAATAATGAAAGTTACATTTCAAAGTCATCTGTTATAATTAGTCTTAAACTGTGAGATGAGTGGTAAGGTTTTCAGTGTATTTTCTATTTTACCAGAGTACCTGAATGCAGCACTGAACCTGACTCTGCCACTCCGTGACTCAATTCCAATCCGGCTCCTACACCCTAACTCTGTGTGGAGTCACACTCGTGGCTGTGGAGGGTCTCTTCGTTAAAGAGATAGCTTAGGTTATTTGACGTGGGGTTGTGTGAGGTAGTCATGCATAGTCAGTGTGTTACCTGCAGTAGATATAGATCAGCGCGCTGCCAATTATAGGAGAGGCAGCAGGAAACTGTGTAGTACAGCGTAATACAGTGCGCTCCATAGCAGTGCTTGTGCGTAGGAATGCAGTGTAGCGTACATACCTGGCCTGGCATTAGTCACAAGCCATTAAAAAAGTTAAGTGTAAGGACATGCAGCATTATGGACCCACAATTGACACTTTGTGACTCTTGTCACCATCAAACTATCACATTGATAGGAAACAGAGACAAAGGACCCTTCTCTCACAAACAGACCACGCTGTTATCATGTCAGAGGGATGCACAATCAGATCATGGGTCAAAGGGTCAGCTCCAGAGGATCCACGAATGCACACCAGGCAAACTGGAGAATATAGGCAAAATCTCCAGTTGTAACAATAAGACTCTGTCTAATGATATTTGATTGTTTCTTATATAGGACAAGTCCAAAAGGACTGATTATCACTAAGGTGTGAATCCTGGCCTCTCTATGCCATGCATGAATACATACACACACACACACACACAGACACACACACAGACACACACACAGACACACACACACACGACGCACACACCACAACCCACACCACACACACAACACACACAACACACACACACACACACACACACACACACAAACACACACACCAACCTCCCTTCCTCTGTCCCTCTCTAGATAAGAGTCATAAACTACAACCCACAGAACACTCTTCACAGACGCAGATCTGAGGAAGAATATAAAATTAAATATCTAACTGTTCTGTAACTCATGAGATGTTTCTATGTAATAGGTCAATCGCAAACTTCTATCCTTGTCCAATGTCCTTCATGTGACCATACTGTCAGCATCCTTCACACGAGGTAACACACACTACATGACATCCAGAATGTCCATATTATTATTATTACAGTCAAAGAACTGCTGTGTAATCCACATGTATAGACTGTTAGCTTTAGAAAATGTTTATATTGTTGTTTGAACAGTTAACCACTTGTATTATGATTAATTCCAGGTTTGAAGGATGTAATATGAAATCAACACTATTACTCCCATCTGTCATTATTAATGCCATTAGGTTTATATGTTATTTCATTTAATGTTTTATGGTCATGGTGGAAGACTGATGTGCTAGTTTATAGGTAAACTCTAGAATTAAACTATTCAAAAGTTCAAAACAGTCGTGATCAGTTCACACATAGCTCAATAGCTCTGTGGTGCAGGCTCTTACCAACAGCCCGGCTCTGTAGCTATGTAAACTCTGAGCTCTAAGCCGCTAGCCACAAACTCATGGCTCTTAGCCATTTTTGCACTTAATCGTTTTGTCCGCATCCTTTATTCTTTTTTTGCCACATGCTCCAAGTAACACAGGCAATGTTTTATTTTTATAAGCCAAGTCAAGACCAACTGAACCAAAACAACAGAAGTGGCTCAGAGTAATTTTGTAACTTTTAATCATCATCAAGTTTTCCTTTTTGAAGATTTTGACAACTTTAGAGTCATCTGGTCAACCCCAGGCTCCTAGCATTAGAGTTTAATTCATATCAACCCACAAGAGACACCAGCAGATAACATCTGCACGACCGCCTGCAGAGAAGCCGACCAGGAATCAAGAGTGAACGAGACAGAAAGTCTCCTGGCAAACTCCACCAGAGCTGAACCGCTGAGACACCGGCAGAATCCATCATCGTGATAACAGGACACGACCTCCAGGAGAATCCACCTAGATCCCATGTCTCCAGGGTTACCACGGCAACCACAGCCACGTGGGTTCCAGTGGAGGGTCTTCAGCTACAGCGCAACTCACAGTAGGCCAGTCTTAACACTCTGCTCATGACTGGGTTGATGTCGAAATATAGCAATATTTAATCATCAAACCTAATTTGTAGATGTAGCATCATTAGCTGTATAGCCATAGTGTATAGCCAGAACATATTCTCTCCCACCATTGCCAACTCATCACACTGCTCATTTCATTATTATATTCATCTTTATGATTATTGCACCTTGCATTTACTCCCAGTTGTTGTCCTGTTGTATTCTTTTGACGTAGAGACTGGAGATCCATTGAATTGAGAAGTCATGGTTTCTGATATGAGAGTGATCACATTAATCAATTAAGTAATTTATTTTTGTCCTTCCTAAGGACTGGTGCCCCTTTCAACGAGAGCAAACTCTAAATTGTGGTATTCACACTACAGTAGTGCCAAAGGAAAGTGTTGCTTTCACGTGAAGATGAAGTGCTGAAAATATTCTACATGAAGTGTACATTGCATTTCTTGCGACGCAGTTCGGTGGCGTGATCTAGAGATTCAGCCTCTTGCCCATTTTTCACGCATGCTGTGCACATCTCTCAACAAAAACAGACAGAGAAAAGACCTGTTCTTTTCTATGTCTAGTCTGAATCTGAATATGACACATATTTTTTTTTAACATTTTAGCAGCTGCATGTGGAGACAGAGACATTGTACTGACATTTTCTGTCAAAAATTAATTGATTAATTAATTGATAATGAAGAGAAATCTAACATTCCAGTAACAATTTATGACTCATCCTTTGGAAATAACTGCACAGAGCTCTCATTTGTTGGTTTGTGGCCTTTTATCCATCATGGACTCAAAGTGGGGCTGCCCTGCTCTGGGACTCTGGTCTGTAAACCTCAATAGACTCAATAACCAACTCCCAATTCACACAGACACATAACAGAGTAAGAGTAGGTCGGGGGAGGGTGTTGGTGCGGGATGGGAATTGTGTCCCGGTGTGACATTAAACCCTGCGACACTGGTCTCTACGGTAACAGTCAATGATAATTATTTGGCTCTGACCTCGTGGTCCAGGGAAACCTTTGATTCCGGAAGGTCCTGGTTTTCCTGTCTCTCCTTTGATTGGGACACACATGGTATCTCCTGGAGGCCCTGGGGGCCCTTTACATCCTGAGGGGACACACAGGAGGGTTTTCAACACAGCTGAGGTGAGATCTGTGTCAGCAACATGTTTCATTGATTATTAAAACTCCTGTACTGAATTCATGCAGTTAATACAGGGATTATAGTACTGCAGCACGGATTATAACACTGCAGCAGGTTTTGTCAGCAACATGTTTCATTGTTTATTAACATTACTGTACTGAATGAATGCAGTTAATACAAGGAGTACAGTACTGCAGCAGGGATTATAGTACTGCAGGGATTATAGTTCTGCAGCAGGGATTATAGTACTGTAGCAGGGATTGCAGTGCTGCAGCAGGGATTACAGTACAGTAATAGTATCTGTAGTAGTATCACTTAGCATTTACCCTTCTCTCCTTTTGGCCCTTCACATCCTTGAACTCCATCTCGTCCATTGAACCCTCTCTCTCCTGTCCATCCTGGAGCTCCAGTGGCCCCAGTCTGTCCTGAAGCCCCTTGCGCTCCATACGTGCCTTGGGGTCCCAACAGACCTGAAACAGAGGGTCTTTCAGAGAAACTGTGTCATCAGGAAACATTTAAACACAGGTGTGTTGGTGGGAGGAGCTCACCTTTCTGACCGTCGGGTCCTGGCAGTCCAGAGTCTCCAATGGGGCCAGAGGGGCCCTGGGGCCCCGGGTATCCTGGGACACCTGGAGAACCTGGTTTCCCTAAAGGGCCTTGAAGGCCAAAGCCTGGAGGACCCACCTCCCCAGTCTCACCTTTCTCTCCCTGAAAACCTGAAAATTAAACATGATGTCACCACAGATTAACAGACAGCACTGAAACTTTAATATTTTTCTACAGAGAAGAAAGAAGTCATACTGATTAAGTTTTATTTTAACAAAGAGCTTCTCTTAAATATGTAATGTAACATAAAGTAATGGAAAGAGTTTACCTGGGGGTCCAATGGGTCCCTGAGGGCCAAAGGGGCCCTTGGAACCGGGTTTTCCTATGTCACAAAGGCCAGGTGAAGGACCTGGGGGACCAGTGATACCTGGGGCTCCATCCTGCCCTCTCTGGCCCTTTGCTCCAGGGCCCCCGGCCAGACCCTGGACTCCTGGACAAACACAGAAAACAAGTGAGGTCTTATCACAGCAGAGCAGAGGAGACGTAGCAGGAGTGAGTGTGGATCAGATCAGTTCAGTTGAGATCAGATCAGATCAGATCAGTTCAGATCACATCAGATCAGATCAGTTCAGATCAGATCAGATGAGATCAGATCAGATCAGATCAGTTCAGATCAGATCAGTTCAGATCACATCAGGTCAGATCAGATCAGTTGAGATCAGATCAGTTCAGTGCAGTTCAGTTCAGTTCAGTTCAGTTCAGCTCAGCTCAGCTCAGATCAGATCAGATCAGATCAGATCAGTTCAGATCAGATCAGATCAGATCAGATAGTTTCAGATCAGATCAAATCAGATCAAATCAAATCAAATCAAATCAAATCAGCATACTTACATCAATGACTTCCTCTCACAGTCGACTCTTTACTTCTTCCTCTTACTTGTGTTTTTTTTTTCCCGTGATCTTTCATTAATATTCTGACACATTTTCAGGATGATGAACAGGTTGTATCTGGACCACTGTACAGGTGTGTGAGGGTGTAACACTCTTAGTTTCCATGACACAGTTTGAAGTTCCTGCACATGAATCCTGGCACATTATTGTCTGTGTAAAGCCTGAGCTGCTGTGACAGTTCAGAAACACTGAGTGACCTCCTGATGTTTCTTGCTGCTGCGGCACCCCCTGTTGGTTCAAACTGAACTAAACTTCAGGAGTAAGACTGTGGAACACACACACCTGAAATCAGTGTGTGTCAAAGCATCCATGTTCGAGTGTTTCCACTGTGTAAGTGTCAGACTTTACTTTTGCTCTGCTAAAGGAGTAAATATGACCTGAAATCCAAATGAAATGTTTCTGTTTTGTGTTGGAGCCCAGTTTGTCTGAACACAGACACATCATGTAGACTTCTTTTATTTTGAAAGGTTAACAAGCACACAGGAAGTCTAGCTGCTTACTGTCCTTGTACAATATATTCCAGCTGTGTCTGAAATCAGTCACTAATCCCTAAATAGTCCACTATATAGGGAGTTTGTCATCTTGCATTGCTGTCCGAATGTATAGTGAGAATTATTATACCCTATATAGTGGACTCATAGTATCCCACAATGCATTATGAAAAGTAATGTACAACCGATGGTCACTAACCAGGCAATATAAACCATCATGCATTGAGCTCATGCTGAAAGACGCTGAAGAGCAGTGTGGAGAAAATGACCTGGGTAGTATCCGAAAGTGTTTTTTCATTTTACTGATGAGCTCAGTGTTTAGTCCTCTACACTGAACTCCCTGAAGAGCGAGGAGGGAGGAGGGACTGAGCGAGTTATTCTGGACACAACCTCAGTGTAGTGCAAGTTCACACTTTTTTTCTTCTGATGTTACTTAGCGGTTGGCAAACAGCTGTTAAGTGCATTACCGCCACCTTCTGGACATTCATGTTCACCAAAGACATGAGCAAGTTCTTTTACTGTTGTAGCGTACATACCTGGCCTGGCATCAGTCACAAGCCATTAAGGAAGTTCATTATAAGGACATGCAGAGTTACGGACCCACAATTGACACTTTGCGACTCTTCCCACCATCAAACTATCACATTGATAGGAAACAGAGACAAAGGACCCCTCTTCCACAAACAGACCACGCTTTTAGCATGTCCGAACGACACAGAACCAGACCAAAGGTCAAAGGGTCAGCTCCAGAGGATCAACCAATGGACACCAGACAACTGGAGAATATAGGCAAAATCTCCAGTTTGTAACAAATAGACTTAGTCTAATGATATTTGATTGTTTCTTGTATAGGACAAGTAACAACAAAAGGACTGATTAACACTAAGGTGTGAATCCTGGCCTGTCTGTGCCATGCATGAACACACACACCAACCTCCCTTCCTCTGTCCCTCTCTAAATAAGAGTCATAAACTACAACCCATATTCCAATCCTGGGTAGTGACCAGCAGAACTCTCCTCACAGACACAGATCTAAGGAAGAATGTAAAATTAAATATCTAGCTGTTCTGTAACTCATGAGATGTTCCTATGCAATAGTTTAATCCCAAACTTCTATCCCATAGAATGTTTTAAATGTAACATGTAGATTTTAAGACAATGTCCTTCATGTGACTATACTGTAAGTATCCTTCACACGAAGTAACACACACTACATGACATCCAGAATGTCCATATTATTATTATTACAGTCAAAGAACTGCTGTGTAATCCACAATTATAGACTATTAGCTTTGGGAAATGTTTATATTGTTGTTTGATCAATTAACCACTTGTATCATGATTAATTCCAGGTTTGAAGGATGTAATATGAAATCAACACTCCTATTACTCCTCTCTGCCATTATTAGTGCAAGTAGTTTTCTATGTTATTTCACTTAATGTTTTGTGGTTGTAGTGTATTATCCACTTCATTTCCTTATGTTACAACATTCTAAATTGTTGCATGTTCTTCTTCTATGTGTGTCTCATCCTAAAGTCCAAGAAGGGTGTCAACCAAGACTTTGTCAAAGGTTTCCTTGAACCATCCATTATAAGTTTAGGTTAAGGAATGTGCATTAAGGGGCAAAACTGTTTATACATCAGGTTTCTGTTAAATACGATATGAGAGACTCAGGATGTGGGGGTCCTTGCTGGCCCAACAGGTTAAAGGCCAAAGACCAAAAGCCACAGTCCAGATGTCGTCAATCTCTGGGTGAAGGCTCCCCATTGAAAGAAGGGTAAATCCCAAAGGAGGGTTGAGACCGATAAATAGAGGGGTTTTGGAGACGTTAGAGGAGAGATCTCACATTGGCAGAGATGCTCCAGGATTCGGCATTTTTTGACACTGTTTCTCTCTTGTAAATAAACTTCTTTTTGATTGCAGTAAAGACGTGTCAGCGGTGATCACTTCTTCACATCAGCACCTCAAGATACCACATGGTCATGGTGGAAGACGGATGTGCGAGTTTATAAGTAAACTCTAGATTTAAATTATTCTAAAGTTCAGTGGAAAATTACTCTCTTCTCCAAGTGGAAACACAGGAGAAGACGGGTGATGCCCCTGAAACATGCGCCAGCCCCCAGGGGATAAAACAGTCGTGATCAATTCACACATTTTCAGTTCGAGAAAAAGTCAGAGAAACCCAGATGACAAGAAGATGCGAGAAACGAAGCTAAAACCTAGAGGCTGAAAAGCTGAAGCTAGAAAACAATGCAGAAACTAGAAACTGAGATCTTTGCTCAAAGCTCAAAATCCCAGCTCAAAGCCCGGCTCTGTAGCCATGTAAACTCTTAGCTCTAAGCTGCTAGCCACAAACTCATGGCTCTTAGTCATTTTTGCACTTTTCGTGTCTTTTATTTTTCTTTGCCACAAGCTCCAAGTAACGTCATTTTTTGTCTACATGCACGATCTTTTATTTTTATAAGCCAAGTCAAGACCAACTGAACCAAAGCAACAGAAGTGCCTCAGAGTAATTTTGTAACTTTTAATCATCATCAAGTTTTCCTTTTTGAAGATTCTGACAACTTTAGAGTCATCTGGTCAACGCCAGTCTCCTCTAAAGTTATCCAGCCAAAGTGAAGAGCATTAGAGTTATTTCGCATCAACCCGCAAGAGACACCAGCAGATAACATCTGCACGACCGCCTGCAGAGAAGCCGAGCAGAAATCAAGAGTGAACGAGACAGAAAGTCTCCTGGCAAACTCCACCAGAGCTGAATCGCTGAGACACCGGCAGAATCCGTCATCGTGATAACGGGACACGGCCTCCAGGAGAATCCACCTAGATCCCGCGTCTCCAGGGTTACCACGGCAACCACAGCCATGTGGGTTCCAGGCGAGGGTCTTCAGCTACAGCGCAACTCACAGTAGGCCGGTCTTAACACTCTGCTCATGACTGGGTTGATGTCGAAATATAGCAATATTTAATCATCAAACCTAATTTGTAGATGTAGCATCATTAGCTGTATAGCCATAGTGTATAGCCAGAACATATTCTCTCCCACCATTGCCAACTCATCACACTGCTCATTTCATTATTATTTTCATCTTTATGATTATTACACCTTGCATTTACTCTGTAGATAGTAGTTTAGTTAATAAACTCCTTTATTTACACCCAGTTGTTGTCCTGTTGTATTCTTTTGACGTAGAGACTGGAGATCCATTGAATCAAGAAGTCATTGCTTCCGATATGAGATTGATAAAATTGGCAATGAAGTAATTCATTATTGTCCTCCTAGAGGACTGGTGCCCCATTTCAACGAGAGTAAATTCTAAAATATGGCGTTAATGCTACACTGTACATCTCAGGTCTGGTCATTCACCTTGTAGTCCATCTATGCCGGGGGGACCAGGAACTCCTTTAGGTCCCTGAGAGCCCAGTGGTCCTGGGAAGCCAATGGGTCCTGAGGGTCCGACATCAGAGTCTCCTGCTGGGCCCCTGAGCCCAGGATAGCCTGGAATCCCTGGAGAGCCTGTACACACACAGTTAAACATCTGATGAGTCAGTCTCTATTCTGGGTTCTCATGTTCATACCTCATACCTCAGAGGGAAAACCTTTTTCATCAGCCTGGTCCTCTGCACAGGGACACAACTTCTGTTACACCTGTTCTTCATCCATGTGTTTACATACAAGAAACTAAAGCAGCATAACTGGTGTGTTGTTAGTGGACATTGTGAACAGGTGAAACAGGAAGTTGATTGTGGATGTTGAGTTCACTGACTGAGCCTGTGTAGCCTGTGTAGCTCACACCTGCAGATCGCGTCAGATGAAGGTCCACAGTTGGAGCTCTGAGAAGGGCTAGCTTCAGGACTTTCTTGCTGTTTACTTTCTCTCTCCCACCTCAGACACATCTCATCAATGAGAGCCGAGAACACTCTCACCTGACTTTTACTGATGTGTTTTGGTTAGTTTAGACTGTTTTTCACCTCCTTTTCCCTCTGAGACTCATTTATTTGTCATAATTGCTGTGAAGTCTTGAGTTATGGCTAAAAACTGTTTTGTGCGGTCACACTGACCTTGACCTTTGACCTTTGACCACCAAAATCTAATCAGTTCATTCTTGAGTCCCAGTGGATATTTGTGCAAAATGTTAAGGGATTCCCTTAAGGAGTTCTGGAGATATTGCATTCACAAACCCAAAACCTTGAGACCTGGTGAAAGCTTTTACCAAATTTGAAGAAATACCCTCAAGTTGTTAGGGAGATATTGTTTTCACATGGCCTAAACCACGTTTAGTGAGGTCACACTGACCTTGACCTTTGACCTTTGACCACCAAGATCTAATCAGTTCATCCTTGAGTCCAAGTGAATGTTTGTGTCAAATTTGAAGAAGTTCCTTCTGAGACAGACAGACAAACTGAAAACAATAAGCCTCTGACTCAGACTGTCGCCAGCGTGGAGACATAATATATCTTATATAGACATAATTGTTCACAGAATAAATGACAAAAGAGCGTTAAGCGAGAGTGAGAGTCCTCCGCGACAAACCCGCTGGACGTCTGTTCAGACAGTCAGCAGACTCAGAGGTTTCACTTTGGCAGAAGTCCTTTTGGAGCTCATGGAGGAGCTCTCTCTCTCTCTTCCAGCTTCTTTCAGCTCGTTTGAAGATCAAAGTTAGGGCGACGTGTTGGTTAGCAACAATCACCCCTTCACATGTATTCACATGAACGCGGATCATAAGACCAGGCACACCTACAACCGCGTCCAGTCAGGTTTGGTGCACTCCATGTAAATTCAAATCCCAGCCGACACGAGCAGAAGAGTTAAGACCTACTGTTTTACGCCCAGCTGATGGCCAACAGGATTGTATCTCACCCTTCTCATGTGTTGAACTCTGTTCGTGCTAATGACCTCTGAAGGAGGTTGCAAACATTCATTCGTGAGTTAAACTTATTAACCAGCAGCTGCTGGACAACAGACAGACAGGGAAACACTGAGCGTGTGTTTGTTAGCATGTGAAGTGAGATGCGATTTATTTAATATGGTGTGTTATTTTTCAGATGTATGCCTCAGAATCTTTGTAGTTTTTAACAGAGTGAATGTTTTTGTGATTAATTCACTTTGTTACTTCATCTCAGACCAGGGTCTAGGCGTGTTTCATTGTCATCTTTGGTTCCTCTGACACTTTTGTTTTATGGGACACAAAACAAGTAATGCCAAACCTTGAGATCACCATAAACAATTTGCTCCAGAATTAATTTGAGACTGGATACAGGCCACTTTCACTGAAGGGTCTATGCAGTTGGTTTGGTCACAATACGACTGCTGTGTTCTGGTCAAATGAATCCAACCAAGGGCGAGAAACCACCAGACTCTGATTCAACCAGACCTGCTTTCATGGCTGAGTCACTGATTCAGAAAAATGGGTCCAGATGGGTCAGAACAGATGGTTTTGGTGTCATTTGGATCTTTGATCTATAAAACTACCGAGGTATGACTCAGGTGTAAAGTAACCACTGAGAGTGACTGTACCTGGATCTCCTCCGTAACTGAAGCCTTCAGATCCTTCTTCTCCAGTATCTCCAACAAGTCCTGGAGGTCCTGTAGGAGCCGGAGGTGAAATATGTAAAGATACTGTTATAGACAATCTACAGACATCAGGAGGTGTGACAGGTGTGCTCTGGTACCTTGTCGTCCAGGTAGTCCAGGAAGTCCAGACTGTCCTTTGTCTCCTTTAATTCCATCAGGTCCAGTGATGCCACGAAAACCTGAAGGACCTGGGAGTCCTGTGTAACCTGGAGACACAGACAGGTGGTCAGGCAGGTGAACAGGAAGTCAGACACACAGGTGGTCAGACAGGTGAACAGACAGACAGATGTTACAGGTGGTGTTTACCTGCGTTCCCAGTGTCTCCCTTCTCCCCCGGGGGGCCGGGGTTTCTGGGTACACAGGGCAGAGTGTCACCTGCAGGAAGAGGAACAGTCAAACAGGTAGTGGAAGGATTCATTGAGAGTTTAAATGAGGAGTTCTGGGAGAGCTAATGAAACATTGCTGGAGCAGGTTTTCACAGTACTTTAATGTTGACTTCAGATTGATTCTTACCAGTAGTCCCTTTTGGCCCTGGGGGACCCAGGAATCCTGGAGCTCCCGGCTCCCCAGGGGGCCCACGCTTTCCTATTGCTCCACCTACATCTGCTCCTGGAGAGCCTTGAGGTCCTGATGATCCCTTTGGCCCTAAAAACCCTGGGAAGCCTCTGTCTCCAGGAGAGCTGGTAAAACTGTCACCCTGAACAGAAACAGGAGTCAGAACAGCTGGACCAGGAGCATCATTCAGCCAGAGGTGCTGCAGCTTTCATCACAGCAACAATGTGAATAAGCTTCCTGGTTTTACAGTTACTGTTTTACCAGTGGTGGAGCTGAAACTGAGTAATGATGAGTAAATGATCCCCACAGATGTACATGGATCTATCATTGACTTCCTGTGATACTGAAGAAAACCCTGATGGTTGTGGGTCAGGTTGTCAGTTATACGGAGTGGCTCTTGTCTATGACTTCTAAGCATCAAAATAATATTAATTTTTTTTTTCAATGACATGATCTTTAAAATATTAAAAATGTTAAGAAGTATTTGTTTGCTATTTCAGTCTGATTGTACGTTAAAAGATCACATCCATGGCAAAAACTGGAGTATCAACATGAATAGCTGGTTAGCAGCAGGAACAGTTAAAAGGAAAGATGGTGAATCTGTCATATCTCTCCTCTGTCACAAAAAAACTGAGCTTCCCCTGTTCTCAGTTCAGTCCTGTTGTTTGATTGTTATCATTAAAATAAAAAGTGCTCTGAGACATTATTCTTACAGGATCGGATGTGGACTGTAAAGATTTTTGAGATTTTCAAGTGGGTCATGAGTTGGAAAAGGTTGGGAACCACAGCTATAGAGAAAAGTCATGGAGTCATTAAAATGTAAAGGGTTAATTTTCTGTGCGGAGGAATGAGATCAAGAACATTCATTAGATGAGGATGTAGTTTAGTTATGTTCTGTACATTAGTACAGAACTCAAGAGCTGTGAAACCACCACTAACTTCATGTCAATCTGATGTTCAGCTCTCTGTCTCTGGACTTCTCCATCCTCATCACTAACGATTCTGTTTCTGAGAAACTCTTTTTAACCCTTTCTATACTTGTACTACACTGACCTGTGCTGTGAGTTCACCTGGAGCATTTGACTCACCTGGGGACCAGGGTTACCAGGGGTGCCAGAGAGTCCATCACGTCCTCTTCTCCCAGAGAATCCTTGTCTGCCTGGGGGGCCGTACTGGCCAATGTTTCCTTTCTCACCTGGAGACAAACATCCAATCAGAGCCACTGATACAATGACACAACATCACAGCTAAAGTCACATTAATTCATCTTCCTGATTTCTGCCTGATCACAAACACCTCACATTACCAACATCTGTATCAGTATTTCTATTTTTTAGTATATATTTTTTTGGGCTTTTGTGCCTTTATTGGACAGAGACAGGAGAGAGACAGGCAATGGGGAGGCAGAGAGAGGGAGAATGACATGCAGTAATGGGCCGTCCGATGCGGGATTCGCTGCTGCTGCAGCAAGGACTGTAGCCTCTACATATGGGGCGCCTGTTCAACCCACTGCGCCACTCGACGCCCCATGTATCAGTATTTCTAAGGGGTCATGGAACGTTTATGGCTGAACGGGATTAATGAAGAAAAAAACAAGCATAATAAATCAGATTACTGTGGGCATACACCATTTTGCTTTGTGCAAATATAAACTTTTTAAATGGTACAATCCATGTTAAAAGTTTATGTATGCAGATGATCACGTGTGCATCATATTACTGTGATGAGATGATCATTTGAGCTGCAACAACTTTTGTTTGATTTTTAGAAACAACACACAAAATAAACAAATAGGGACATAAAACAGGAAGTGGGACTGCAAAAAACAAAATCTTTAAAATTGAAGAAAGAGACATCGTTTGACATAAGTGGTGTACTGGTGTGTAGAGTTCAGGAGAGGTGAGACAGGTGTGCAGACAGGTGACAAACTCACCTAATCTATCCACCACAATGAAATCTCCCTTCTGACCCTTTAACCCTTTGACGCCTGGAAATCCACCCAGACCCTACAGACACAAAAAAAAAAAAATAATAAAACAAAACCACAACACAAAAAGAACAAACACGCAAAAAGAATCAATGAACTTTGGGTTACTGATACAACCTCTGACCCTGGTGTTTGGTAACTCACCTGTTCTCCAGTATCTCCAGTATCTCCAGGTAAACCTTTCTCTCCTCTCTGCCCTGGGGCCCCTGGGACTCCTGGAAACCCCTGATTTCCCGAGTCACCCACAGGGCCGGGGGGGCCCCTTAGTATGAAAGGAGGGCCACAATTGCAGGCACCATTAGAGCCTATAACACGTAGGTAGATTTAAAAACAGAAAGTCAGGTTGTGGAGGTCCTCAGGGAAGTGTCCTGCAGCCTCTGATCTTTCCACTAAACCTCACATCAGGGAAAACAACATGCTGGAGGGAAGCACTGCCAACACAAAACTGAAGCTGGATTGCTATCTGTCTATTAATTGGTTGCTGGACTTCAGGAATGAGGGTCTCGTATAATCTGAGCTAGTCCTATCCCAAAGGGATAAGAGAGAATGAGAGAGTGAGAGGAAGGTCTTTATTCCATTGTTTCATCTGTTAAAGCTCCATCTTTTCCTCTTCTCCTGTGTTTTATTTGAAGTGTTGATCCATAAGAAGATATGTTTGTGGTTTTAAGAACCAAAAACCATCTCAGTGTAGTTTTACATCTCCTCTCTCAAGTTTCTCTCCAGAGCGCTAGTAACAAGGTTGGTGAGCCAATCTGGGGCTTGGGGTGTGGCTGAGGGTGGTGACTGTTTTGTTGTGACATCACAAAGTTACAGAAGTCCTGACGGCTGGTTTTAAGGCTCATTTTCTGAATACAGGCTGTGTGCATTTCTCTGTGGACTGAGGCTTTGATACTTTCACAGTATTAATATAAAACCTAGACCTGCTTTATAATCAAACAACACATGGACAGAGACCTTTATATATGGAGCTTTAAATCCTCAGTCAGAAATGTGTCTGTACTTAGGTTTCCATCCAAATCTAATTTTAACCTTATTTTCCGAAAATTTACAAAATAAAATATAAATTAATGCATGTTTCCATCCAGTCTGTTATGTGACTATTACTGTGCAATACTTTTAAGCACTTGAGAAACTACCTTGAAAAACTGTGTGCAGATGTCCCAAGTAAAACTGGTGTCATTTTAAAGGCAAAGGGGGGTCACAGCAAATAGTGATCTGATTTAGGGATTTAATTTTTACTGCACTTTGGATGAAGTTCACTGAGAAATCAAAACTATTCATGGCTTTATTTTGAAAACTTCCTCACTTTACTTCTATTGTCTAAAACCTTTGCACAGTGCTGTACATTCCAACCAATATCGTATTTTCACCCATCATGACTAAAGTAACTCTGTCCTAACCCAAATTCAAAAGTCAAGTCAGAGTTATTGTCATAATTTGCAGAGTTCTGCATGGTCCTACCGACATTAGAGATCTATTGCAGCCCTTTGTCTCCAGCAGGTCTCTGAGGTCTGATTGGGGTTTGTTGGTTGTTCCCAACTCTAGGCTCAACACTAAAGGACAATGTGCTTTGTAATGTTTATAAAGACCCGAGGAAAGTCCTGCACAATAGGAGGATTCTTCCAGTAATCCAGGTGGTGTCAGTCTGATGTGATGACATCACAGACACATGAGAACCAGTGATACGAAACTTCCCACGCAACGTTTCATTGGTCTACAAAATATCAATCAATTAAGAATCAATCAGTCCAGACAATGACCTTTAAACCCTGGGAATCCCTGATCCCCTGTGAGTCCCTGTTGACCCAAGTCTCCTGATTCTCCTGGGGCCCCGGGAAGACAGTAACGACCTGAGGAAAGAAACAAGTGGTAAGTATGTCAGCATTCAGTGATCTCTGCTGATTACAATGATTGATATGATATAACTTTAGATAATGACATCACAAGGCGTGTCTGAAGTTAAAGAACAGGTGAACAAGAGTTCTCTGGTACCTGGACTTCCTGGTTCTCCTTTCAATCCTCTAAGTCCGGGATGTCCTGGTTTTCCAGGTTCTCCAGGTGTGGGTCCATCTTTATAGACCTGACCTGGATCTCCTCTCTCCCCTTTGGATCCTGGAACTCCACTCTGACCTACAATACCTGCTGGACCTGAGGAGGAACCATCAGAGAACTTTATTCATCTTATGCCACCTAAACACATTTCACCTTCACTGTCACTGTCAGAACACATGATGCTGCCTTGCTCATAGGCTGACCAGGTATGGAGAGGCCAGGGGCTCCAGGGGGACCATGCATTCCCATCAGCCCCATGTCTCCTTCAGGGCCGCTCAGTCCCTGGGGCCCGGTGCCTCCAACATCACCTTGAAAACAGGTGGCAGTTAGTTGACATCATACCAAACTGATGACATCACACCAAAGTGATGACATCATACCAAGCAGACAAGGACAGAATCTGTTGATTGATTCATACCTGTGTGTGTAACATCTACCTCCTGAGGGAGGCCTTTAGGACCTGGATCTCCCATCATGCCCTGGGAACAGACAGATTCATGACAGACGATATAATCACAGGCAGGTGCTCAGATGTCCTCCAACAAGGATCATACGTCAGTTTCATTCAGAAGATACATAGGTGTTAGAGGAGGGGCAGTCAAACACTTTAGGTATCTGGATTTACCTGTCTCTGATTGGTCAGAACAGAAACATTACAGACAGAAAAAAATGACTGACCTTAGGACCTTCTCGTCCAATCAGACCTGGGAGACCTGGACTTCCTTGAATCCCCTGAAAACAACACATAGACACACACACTTTTAGAACAAGGAAATCCTGGTTTCTGATTGGCTGGTGGGTGTATATCACAGGAGGAAACCCAGGACACAACTTCAAATTATCACATAATGCTCTTCTAGAAATTCTCAAACTAGAGAAATCTGTGATTTTAATCAAGGTAACACATGTCATTTGGTTGCCTGTCAATGACATCATATCCCCTTTGCTCATGTATACCATGTTATATAGGTTTTTATGCATGTAAATGGTCTACAGAGTCTCAAGGATCAAAGTTTACACCACAGGGAGTAACTCTTTCAGGGTAAAAACCCAATTTTGGTTTGTTTGGTTTTCCTTTGTATGAAACGCCCTGTTGGGGTCCCGACATTACTTCCATTTAGGGCTGGGCGATAAAACGTTAGCAATGATTATTGCGAAATTATTTTCCTGGATAGAAACATTAAAAATGTTCGATAAATGTTTAATATAATTCATTTCCATGCTTATAGCACGCCCACAAATGAATCACAAACGGCCAATCATGTCGCAGGAATAGAGGTCTGCATTGTGCAAGTTAGGATGCATGGTGAGAGGTATAAATACAGGACAGCACGTGACATTATTTACAGATGCACACAGTGGCTGATGGGCTAGAAGCAAATAAGGTGAAATGAGTGACACTGCAGAAAAAGCAGAACACAGCTAGGAGGATGAAAATATCGTCAACAAGAGAGGCCACTCTCTCATGGTTTGCCATGGCGGACATTTTATGTTTGAGATTATGTTTGGATTTTTGTAACTTCCTGTTTTATTTTGTAGTTTGTTTCCTTGTGTGTCTCAATGTTTTTTCTTCCTGTCTTTGTCCTGTTTCCCTCCTTGTTGATTGTCTGCCCCGCCCTAATGTGTTTCACCTGTCTTCAATCACCCTTGCCTCTCTTGTGTCTATTTAGTCTCTGTGCTCCCTGTTGTCTGTGTCAGTTTGTCTGTAATTGTCCTCTGTGTTACCTGTTGTTATCCCCTGTGGTTCCTTGTGTTTTGGCCTGCTGTTTTTGTCCCCTGTGTATCCCCGTGGTTCGGCTTCTGTTCAATTGGTTCACCAGTGTTTTGTAAGTAGTCACTTTTTTTTGTTTTGTTATTAAAACATTTTTTGCACTAATCCCTTGTGTGGTTGCATTTGGGTCCAGCCTTACTCCCAAGACGTGACACTCTCAGCTTCAGTAGTTTGGAAATGTTTTGGCTATTTACAGTCTGGCAAAAAACAGAGCAATGCACACTGCAAACTGTGCCGGAGACCGGTTCCATCAAAGACAGGCAACTCCACAAACCTGTTTCATCATTTGAAACAATATCACCCGTTAGAACACACCAGAAAGTAAGAAATTACAGGCCAAAATGAGCGCCGGGCCAGTACCCAGTGCAAATCTTCTTTGTCTATTTATTTATTATCCAGTCTGATCATGTTGCATGTGTGCTGTATCACACTGCAGAACCTAATTTTTTCTATTTACTTTGTTGAGTAAAAAGGACTGAAAAGGATATGTTTTTGTCATGTTCTGACTAAATAGAACAGTTTGAAACCACAATTGACTGTCTGGTTTCTTCAACTTTCACTCAGGGGCAAAAATCAGTCTTTAAACCTGACAGAAATAATGATGTGCCATTTATTGTGATAAATATTGATATTGATTGATATGTACATTTTTATCGTGATAACAATTTTGGCCATATTGCCCAGCCCTAGGTTCAGGACTTTTCCTCAAAATGATAAGGCAGAACCGAAGCCGTCACAACCATTTGTTTACACAAGACATGAGCAACAGGTCATTGCCATGGTAGTTGCCGCCAAGCTGAAGTTGCTTCAGTGGGAGGAGGGGGGCCTTAGAGAGCCCTGAGCTCTAACAGAGCGTTTCAGACAGAGGGTGAAGAGTACAGTATAAAATGTACAGCAGAAGAAGAAAAATGTCTTTTCAGAACATTAAAGCATGTAAATCTATTTTAGTCGACACCAAGAATGAAATGATGAACACTAAAAATGGTCATAATAAGTCCTCTTTAAGCCACATTTTCATGATACTCTTGTTAGAACTTGGTTATGTTTAACTATATATTTTAACCAGAAGAAGGACTTCCATCATTGGATAGATCTCAACATCCCCAAGAGAGCCGATGCCAGGGTGCTGGAGAGGAGACTCCCACTGATTGTCGAACCTCAGATTCAGGATGAGCAATGCGGATTCTGTCCTGGCTGTAGAACAGAGGACCAACTCCTTCCCCTGGCAAGGTTACTCAAGGGGTCATTGAGTTTGCCCATCCAGTCTACATGTGCTTTGTGGACTTGTGGGGGGTACGGGGTCCCGGGGCCGTTGCTACAAGCTATCCGGTCCCTGTATTGCAAAAGTGTAAACAAGTATTCTCAGCAGAAAGTCAAACATGTTCCCTATGGGTATTGACCTCTGCCAGGGTTGTCCATTGTCACCAATCCTGTTTGTGATTTTCATGGACAGGATTTCAAGGCACAGTCTGGGTGGAGGAGTGTGTCCGGTTTGGGAGCCTCAGAATTCCCTCCTTGCCATTTGCAGGTGATGTGGTTCTGTTTACCTCGTCAGACCAGGTCCTTGAGCATGCACTGGGGCAGTTTGCAGTTGTGTGTGAAGTGGTGGGGATGAGGGCCAGCACCTCCAAGTCTGAGGCCATGGGTCTCTGCCGGATTGCTCTCTTTGGGTTGGGATGGAGTTTCTGCCCAAAGTGAAGTAGTTTAAGCATCTTGGGTCTTCATGATTGTGGGTAGGATGGAGATTCAAAGGCGGATCGGTGCAGCGTCAGCAGTAAAGTGGGCATTGTACCGGACAGTTGTGGTGAAGAGCGAGGAGAGCCAGAAGGCAAAGCTCTCAATTTACCAGTCAGTCTTTGTTCCAACCCTCACCTCTGGTCATCAGCTCTAGGTAGCAACTGACAGAATGAGATCATGGATACAAGCAACTGAAATGAGTTTCCTCCGCGGGGTGTCTGGGCTCACGCTGATATCCAGAGGGAGCTCAGAGTATGTCGCTGCTACTTCGTGTCGAAAGGATCCAATTGAGCGGGTTAGGATGAGCACCTTCCACTGGAGGTTTTCCAGGCACGTCCAACTGATAGAAGGCCTCGGGGTAGACCCAGAACACACTGGAGAGATTATATATCTCATCTGGCCTGGGACCACCTTGGGATCCCCCAGGAAGAGCAACATGTTTCACTTATTTAGGTGGAACATTGTGAGCAGTGTCCTCATGACGACTAATTCCCCACAAAGAGAACACCACAAAAAAGTTATGACCTATGTCTCTCTGTGATTGCACATGATCCGAATCTTCATCAAAACTTTTTCAGCCTGTAAGGCTGCAGCTCTGAGGTTGTTGTTGTTTCCCATAGTGAGGGGGGTTTTGGAAACAGTAACAGGCAGGGGAAGCAGAAAGGCTGCCTGAAATAGGCACCCAATGGCAGGTTTATACCCACAGCTTACATCCCATGAGTCACGTTAACTTCAGCTCAGCTCACAGCCCTTCTGAGACCTCCTGTGTCCACCAAACAGTGTCAGGGAAACACAGATTTTTAATGTGAAACTGCTTAATTCAGTGTTTCTATTGGTTATAATCCCCTGGTGTGTTTGTTAATTCAGCTGCTGGTAAAAACCTCCTGAACCACTGACACTGAAGGAATCCAAACCAGGAGAAGCTGACGACAGTGGTGGTGAAGACAACAACTCCCATGATCCCACATTACTTCATGACATTGCCAAACTCAACATGATGATTTTTCAGAACAGATTGACTGATGATTTAACAACTAGTCCTTTTAGGTTTGATGCACAAAACAAATCCTCTAAAGACAAATCAGCTCAAAGTCACTTTGACACTAGTTTCATATTATTGTTATTTTTCAGTCTGCTGTGTTGACTCACCTTGAATCCTTTCTCTCCGAGCAGACCGGGGATGCCAGAAAATCCCTGAAACACACAAACACATCACATGTACATGGACACTGATGTTTCATCAGTAACCTGAATATAATGATCAGATTGACTGTTAATCAATCTATCACAGATCGTCCATCTTGTCTGACTTATTGGTTTCTACTTTCTTTATACCACAACAGGTGTCATCACAGTCACTTCTTTGTGCTGATGGGAACAGGTTGGTTTTAAGATTGAAGACAAACACTGAAGCTGCAGCCAGAGTCAGCTGAGACAAAGGTGATCTCAGAGTCTCCAGTCTTCTTAAGAAATGATTTTCCAAGACATTTTCAGGGGCAGGAGGAAGGGATGTCAGGGATCACACTCTCTACTGACAAGTTCCTCTATATGGATGTCTCCTTTAAAACATACAAGACTGTGTGAAGGTTCAGACTCTTCTCCATCATCATCATCAGGGAGTGTCTGATTGGTCCAGATTCATCCTGCAGCAGGACAGTGAGTCCAAACACCCAGAGTCATAAAGAACTATCTTCAGAGACCAGAAGAACCAGGAGTCCTGCAGCAGATGGTTTGGCCCCACAGAGTCCTGATCTCAGCATCATGGAGTCAGTCTGGATCACATGAAGAGTCTGAAGAACTGAGGCAGGTTCTCCAAGAAGCTGGATCAAGCTACCTGACAAGAACCTGAAGACTATACCCTGTTCTGTACCCAGGTTCGATACCCAGTTCTGTACCCAGGACTCCTCTGGACCTGTGACTTCTCTGAGTGAGGAACGTTCAGCACTGAAACCCTTTGTGAATTACTCTTGGACCAAGAACTCTGGAGTCTTAACGTAGTTTCCACTAACTCTGACAGTCGGCTTGAGGATGTTTTCTCAATACGACCAAAAGGTCTGAAAGGTTTCAGGTTTTCCAGGTTTACCAGGACGCGTGATGACCCTGGAATCTAGAATTTATTTGACTGGGACTGATCAATACTGATCAATAATGCAAAAATGATAATAATGATAATAACGTGAAGATGGATAAGTACTCACTCTGGGCCCAGGGAACCCAGGAACCCCTTTCTCTCCTTTGATTCCTGGGAGAGAGTCCATGCCCTGAAACACACACACACACCAGTGAATACTGTCCAACTGTAGAGCAAGTCAGCATCAGAACCCAGTGTTCCTTCAGACAGATGCTCCAGATGTTTGATCAGAACTTACAAGCAGTCCCTCAGCTCCACAGACTCCTTTAATCCCTCGATGGCCCTGAGGAACCAACACAACCCGCCATTAGAACCCAACTGTAGCAGAACTACATGAGGACCACAGTAGAACAACTGTAATCTGATAGGCTGTATGAGTCGAAGTCCCACCCACCTTTTCTCCTTTGATGTACAGGTCCTCTGGAGGGTCGACGTACTCAAACGGCCCCGGGGGCCCCTGGAGGCCCTGATCCCCCTGTGGATTACACAGTTAACACCTGTCACTAGTTGACCAGTTAATTCAAGTAACAGTAAAAAGTAAACTGACTCTTGCTCTTGTAGCCCTGCCCCCTCGCTGATGTCACAGCAGGTGTTTTTCAGCAGTTGTCAGAATGAAAGCACCTGCAGTGATGTCATGTAGGGGGCGTGGTCAGAAAAAAAGAGTGTTTGTACCTCGTCTCCTTTCTGTCCAGGGAGAGATCGACCTTTTTCTCCCTGAAACACAAACACATCACATTGAGGTTAAAACTGAGAGTAAATGTTCAGATGTTTTACAGTATATTTAAAAATCTATTCAAACTTAATGACTTAATAACCTGTGCTCACAAACTCACTGCAATGCACAATTGCAATCACAACACGAGAGGAGATTGTTCAGAGATCAGTGTCTCGTGATAAACTGACTTCATGTCCACAGATTCTCAGTGTCAGTGTACAGATTTTAATGACTGTAAGAGATCACTGTCTCTGTCGTGATCAAAGAGGCAACATTAGTACAGATCACATGAAAAAAATAATATCCAACAGGTGTTTTCATCTTCTCTCAACATAAACTTAATCCACTGAAGAAAGAGTTAAGGTTCCCACAGTTACTGAGTTAAAGTCATATCAAGTTTTCATTGAGCCTGCGCTCTGAGACCCACCACAGTCCAGACTGAGCAGAGAGCTGAGTGTGACACTGAACTCATCAGGACGACGGTGAACATGGAGGAAGAGTCAAGTTAAAACAGGAACACATCAGAAAACATATACTCTATAATGTTTCAAACTAAAGTCTGGTTCTAAATGAAGTTCAAGGTAAAACTGGACACATGAAAACACAGTAATATGATACTTACAGGTGGACCCCTGGAACCAGGAAGACCAGGGAGACCCTGTACAGACACAGGCACATAATACCACTAGATATAACAACAACAACAACAACAACAAAAACAACAACAGCCTATAACAGTTGCCTGTACTTTATCTGCATGTAACTTTGTAACTGAGTTAAATATGTGATTTAGTCCCAGGGGAACTAACAATAATAATAATAATAATAATAATAATAATAATAATTATAATTATTATTATTGTTGTTGTTGTTTCTGGTTTTGTTGTGACTCACGTTGGTCCCATCCAGTCCGTCTGAACCCACACCTCCTACTGAACCAGGGAGACCCTGCTCACCCTGCAGACAGAAACACACCTGTCAGTGCTGTTCATGTGTCACATGCTATTGTTGTTTGTTGTGTGTTTGCTCTCACCTGCAGTCCAGGAAGACCAGGGGGCCCCACATCTCCCTGTGAGACACAAAGACACACACACACTGATAGTATAAATAATCTGTGTTGTCTACTCTGTAAAGACAAATCATCCCATAATCTGTCGTCTCCATAGAAACCACCTGCACAAAGATAGTTGATTAGTTGATCGACAGGTATTTAATAACAGATTCATCAGGAATCAGACAATTTTAGGTAAAAAAGGTGAACTATTCCAGAGCTCCCATCTCTCTACGTGAGTTTCTCTCTGTTTTCTACCACAGTCACTGAATCTCTTCAGGTAAGGACTGTTGATCATATTGTTATATTGGACCATGAGAAACTGAGAGTGGCAGTTTTCACTGATTCTTCACATTAATCAGTGAAGACAATAATCAATAGATGAATCGATTATGAGAACAATGGTTCTCTGCAGCTCCAGTATAACTGCAGCACCACAGGAACAAGTGTGTCTCTACCTGCTGCCACTTTAAAGTCACAGAGACCTCATGTGCTAGAGGAGACAAGACTCCAGGTGTTATGTACAGTATAGAAGATGAACTTACAGGTACTCCAGGGTACTGAATGAAGTACACTGCTGGATCTCCTGGAAATCCTTTCAGTCCTGGAAAACCCTGCAGAGCAAAACACAGTTACCATGGTGATTACAAAATACACCACTACACTTTATTAGTACTACAGAACACTGATTACTTTGTATCATCAGAACACAGTAGCGATGAACTCTACTAAAAATCAATACATATTCAGAGTCTGGTGGAAAATTGATCACTTATTTACTAGTTGATAAAAACCTGAATCTATAAACTTGATGCTCTGATGAGATGAGGCGTGTACAAACTTTAGACTCTAACTTGACACATAATTTAGCTTTAAGATAATTTTAAGACAGAAACAGTTCTCATCAGTGTTTGTTATTGACTGATCAGTGTCACTGACCAGTTCTCCATCACGTCCTTGTTCTCCGGGAAGTCCAGGATCTCCTCTCTGCCCTCTGGTCCCATTACATCCGTCCAGACCTGGAAAACCTGGACCTCCAGCAGGGCCCGGGTGTCCCTGAACACACAAACACAAATACAAACACACACTCATAGTCTGACACAACTCCAGCTGAACCAATCAGTGGAGCTGACAGGCTACGGAGGGCGGAGTTTCTTACCGGGACTCCCTCTAAACCCGGAAAACCAAGAACACCGACACTGCCCTGAAACAACAAACAATCAGAGTCACAGGGTTCTGCACAGAACCAGTGAGAACAGCAAGAGCTGTGATTGGTCAGACAAACAAACAGGCTGTAAAGCATTAAAACAGACATCATCAGTTCAGATGAGAACCAACAGAACCAAGTTTATTCACCAGGTCTCCTTTCAGTCCTGCAGCTCCTGTTGGCCCCTCATCTCCTCTTTGGCCCTTTTCTCCTGGAGGCCCCTGAGGACCTGGGAATCCTGGGGGCCCCTGATGGCCCTGCTGCCCCAGACCACCTGGAGCACCCTGCAGAACACATGCAACACAGTTAGTACTTAAGAGAAGCTGTTAGAACCATATAGAATCATACAGAACCTGATAAAAAGTGGTAAACTGGCTAAACATGTTGGGATCTGGTAGACCACGTTAGAACCTGTTAGACCTGTTAGAAACTGTTAGAATGTGATAGAAACAGTTACACCGCTGTAGAATGATGTTAAAGCCTAACAAAAACTGGTAGAACCTGTTATAACTTAGCATAATACACTGGAACCTGGTAGAATGCAGTGCAACATGTTAGAACCTATTAGAAACTGATAAAAACTGGTAGAACATATTAGAACCTAGCAAAAACATGTTGGAATCTGGTAGAACATGTTAGAACCAGTTAGACCTGTTAAAATGTGATAGAAACAGTTACAACGCCGTAGAACATGTCAGAACCTGATAGAACCTGATAGAACCTAATAAAAAACTTTTACAACAAATTAGTACCTGATAGAACCTGCTAGAATCTGAGAGAATCTGACCTGCTCAAAACTGGTACAACAGATTAGAACCAGTTAAGAATCAGCAGAACATGTTAGAACCTGGTTCTACCTGATGGAACCTGAACCTTGTATGTGGATAACTACGTGATCCAGATCATACTGCTGGACTGTTTAAAATGAATCTGACTCTGTTGTCAGAGAAACCAGTCTGTAAACCCAAACCTGCCAAAGTGAAGCGGGTGGACCAGGACCCAGAGGTTTTCAGGTGAACCCAGTTCCAGATACAAGTGGTTTTCTTAGAATTATAATGAAAGTGTTGATATAATCCTGGTTTTATAGGAGAACATGCAGATCATTGAGAGATCAATTTAATCTGTTGGTTTATTTATCACATGTTAATTTTCATATTTATACATGATTTAATGTACAACAAAAAAGCACCATAATTAACAGAACTCAGTTTAATAAAAACTTATCATGCATTTAAAGCTGTTTGCTGAGAGAAAACATGATTCATTTTCTCAGAAGGTTTAATTTTATGACTCAAAGTCTCACATGAACTTAACCATTCACACACCAATATCACAAGACTGAACACACTCACTGTTATGGAAACACAGTGATGGAGCTCTGTGTGGAACAAAACAACAACAATGTGTTTATACTGTTTATACATTAAATATGGATGTATGAATGAATGAATGAATGAATGACTTAATGGATGGATGAATGGATGAATGAATGAATATTGTTTATTAGAGTTTCCTCTGGTGTCTATCTGGTGCCCAGCCCGTATGGGCTTACAAGACACTTAACCATAAACTTGATGGCAAAATAATCAATCATCACATACACTTCATAAATGAATAACAAATCATCATATACACTTCCAAAATTAATATGAGGTTCAAATCCATCAATTATGTTGGATACAACTTCCTCTGTCTCAATAGCCAGGCTTCTCCTATGAATCTTGCCAAAACAAAAGTCTCTACATTAAAAAAACAACTCAGCATAACAGCATCAGACAACCAAAACAGATCAGGTTTCTTCAACTGAATCTCATTAAACAAATATTTCCTTAAATCAGAGTACAGAGGGCAATGGAATAAAAAATGTAATTCATCCTCAACAACCCCAGGATCACATAAAACACACAAACATTGCTCTTCAGCAGTGCCTTTGTATCTGCCTACTTCAACTGCCAGTGGTAAAGTACCAGTTCTTAACTGAGCACACAAAGACCTTTGCATTCTCAGCAGATTTAATTTTATATATGGTTCTGTATAAGAATCATCTTTCATATGGATGTAATTTCTAAGCTTTTGCTTACTACAAATTTCTTGTTCCCATTCTTCTTTATAAGCATTAAACATTTTTTGTTTAGCTGTTTTTATATTACATTACAAATTATTCCTAAATATTAAATTTATATCAGCAATGGACAAAACAGTTGCAACCTCTCGTGTCCAGGGATGACTGTGTGTTCGGTCCCAGTTAAAAACCTTTTTTTCAGTTTCTCCTCTGGCAACTGAACCAGCTGATTCCACAACCTCACGAGTTCACCTCTCTGTGTCTTACAGGACACAGCTCCCATCTCGTATCACCTTCAATGGCTCGCTTAGCAGTGAATTTGTACCCCCCAAGAAAACATCTAATGGCTCAGTTCTGGATTGCATTACTGTCAGGGGAATCCTGAAAACCCCATACTACTGCCGCATATAATAAAGTTGTGCCTACCATTGAATTATAAAGTTTTGAAAAGATTGAGAAACTAAGGCCTGGTAAAAGCTTTATTTTGTTCATCACCGATCCTAGCCCTCCCAGCTGAATCTGCCAAGACTTTAAAACTCATATGTTCATTGAAGACCAAACCAAGGTATTTATAGGAACTGGTGTACTTTAGAAGTGTTGAGCCAAATTGAAAAATGTGCTTGCTTTGTTGTTCACACTGCTTTCTAAACTGTATTATTTGTGTCTCCATTTACTAGTCCATACACTCAAGATATTTAACACTTTTTGTAAATGTATCTCTGTCTCTGCAATCAACACAATATCATCTGCATACAGCAGAACACTTAAATTAATATGGTCAATTAGTATACCTAGGTTGGCTTGCATAAGTTCTTGAGCCAAATCATTTACATAATGGGCAAGTAATGTAGGGGAGAGAACATCTCCTTGCTTCACTCCATATGGAGTGGGAAACCACTCTTAAGAGGCACTAACATGTAGTGTTGCTCCGTGACCAAAGGAGGGCAGTGTGACACAACCACACACACACACACACACACACACACACACACACACACACACACACACACACACAGAGGTGGTGTGTTTGAACAGCAGTCAGACAGTCAGGATGTTAAATCAGATGGAATGTTCCTTTAAATCAGCAGACATAAGATTAGAGTGAAATACACACATTTATACACACACATACACACACATACACAACAGACACACAAACGCACGCGCACACACACACACACACACACACACACACACACACACCACAACACACACACAACACACACAACACACACACACACACACACACACACACACGCACGCACGCACACAATCACTGGGCCTCATGGAAACAGTTTTATATTCTTCTCCTCATCCTGTCTGTGCCTTTAAGGTTCAGTGGGTTTACCTAACCACCTGTACATGAGGGGCTTAACTAACCAACTGTACATGAGAAGGTTTAAATAACCACCTGTACATTACAGGGTGTAACTAACCACCTGTACATGACAAGGTTTAACCAAATGTACTTTAGAGGGTTTAAGTAACCACTTGTCCATTAGAGGGTTTAACTAACCACTTGGACATGAGGGATTAAACTAACCACCTTTACATTAGAAGGTTAGAGCAACCAACTATACATTAAAGGGTTTAACTAAACACCTGTACATTTGAGGTTTTTAACTAACCACCTGTACATGAAGAGTTTAACTAACCACCTGTACGTTCAAGGGTTTAACTGTCCACCTGTACATGACACGGTTTAATCAACCACCTGTACATGAGAGGGTTTAACTAAACACCTGTACATGAGAGGGTTTAACTAACCACCTGTACATGAGAGGGTTTAACTAACCCCCTGTACATGATGTGGTTTAATCACCCACCTGTACATTAAAGGGTTTAACTAACCACTTGGACATGAGGGGTTTCACCAACCACCTGTACATGAGGGGTTTAACTGACCACCTGCACATTAGAAGGGTGAACTAACCACCTGTACATGAGAGGGTTTAACTAAACACCTGTCCATGAGAGGGTTTAACTAACCACCTGTACATGATGGGGTTTAACTGACAACCTTTACATGACGGGGTTTAATCAACCACTTGGACATGAGGGGTTTAACCAACCACCTGTACATGAGGGGTTTAACTAACCACCTGTACATTAGAAGGTTGAACTAACCACCTGTACATGAGAAGGTTTAACTGACCACCTGTACATGAGAGGGTTTAACTGACCACCTGTACATGAGCGGATTTAACTAACCACATGTACTTTAGAGAGTTTACCTAACCACTTGTACATTTGAGAATTGAACTAACCATCTGTACAAGGGGGTTTAACTAGCCACCTGTACATGAGAAGTTTAATTAACCACCTGTACACAAGGAGTTTAACTAACCACCTGTACGTTCAAGGGTTTAACTAACCACCTGTACATGAGAGGGTTTAACTAACCACCTGTACATGAGAGGGTTTAACTGACCACCTGTACATGAGAGGGTTTAACTAACCACCTGTACATTAGGAGGTTTAACTAACCACCTGTACATGAGAGGGTTTAACTGACCACCTGTACATGAGCAGGCTTAACTGACCACCTGTACATGAGCAGGCTTAACTAACCACATGAACTTTAGAGAGTTTACCTAACCACTTGTACATTTGAGAATTGAACTAACCACCTGTACCAGGAGGTTTTAACCAAACACCCGTACATTAGAGGGTTTAACTAACCACCTGTACATGAGAGGGTTTAACTAATTACCTGCACATTAGAGGGTGTAACTAACCACCTCTACATGAGAAGGTTAGACCAACCAACTATATATTAGAGGGTTTAACTGACCACCTGTATATGAGAGGGTTTAACTAACCACCTGTACATGAGGGGTTTAACTAACCACCTGTACATTAGAAGGTTGAACTAACCACCTGTACATTCAAGGATTTAACTAACCATCTGTACATGACGGGGTTTAATCAACCACCTGTACATTAGAGGGTTTAACTAAATACCTCTACATGAGGGGGTTGATATTACCACCTGTACATGAGAGGGTTTAACTAATCACCTCTGCATTAGAGGGTATAGCTGACCACCTCTACATGGGAGGGTTGACTAACCACTTGGACATGAGGAGTTTAACTAACCACCTGTACGTTCGAGGGTTTAACTAACCACCTGTACATGATGGGGTTTAATCAACCACCTGTACAGGAGAGGGTTTAACTAACCACCTGTACGTTCAAGGGTTTAAGTAACCACGTGTACATGAGAGGGTTTAACTAATCACCTGTACATTAGAGGGTGTAACTAACCACCTCTACATGAGAAAGTTAGACCAACCAACTATATATTAGAGGGTTTAACTGACCACCTGCATATGAGTGGGTTTAACTAACCACCCGTACATGAGGTGTTTAACTAACCACCTGTATATTAGAAGGTTGAACTAACCACCTGTACATGAGGGGGTTTAACTGATCACATGTACATGAGAGGGTTTAAGTAACCACCTGTACACAAGAAAGTTAGACCAACCAACTATACATTAGAGGGTTTAACTAAACACCTGTACATTTGAGGGTTTAACTAACCACCTGTACATGAGCGGGTTTAACCAATCACCTGTACATTAGAGGATATAACTAACCACCTCTACATGAGAGGGTTAACTAACCACTTGGACATGAGGGGTTTAACTAACCACCTGTATGTTCGAGGGTTTAACTAACCATCTTTACATGATAGGGTTTAATTAACCACCTGTACATGAGAGGGTTTAACTAACCACCTGAACATTATGGGGTTTAATCAACCACCTGTACATGAGAGGGTTTAACTGACCACCTGTACATGAGAGGGTTTAACTGACCACCTGTACATGAGAGGGTTTAACTAACCACCTGTACTTTAGAGAGTTTACCTAACCACTTGTACATTTGAGAATTGAACTAACCACCTGTACAAGGGGGTTTAACTAACCACCTGTACATGATAAGTTTAACCAACCACCAGTACACAAGGAGTTTAACTAACCACCTGTACTTTAGAGAGTTTACCTACCTAACTGTACTGGAAGCTGCAAGATGTAAAAAGGAACAAACAAAATCAGAAATTTAAAAAAACGTTGTTGAATCTCTGTTGTTGTTGATTATAATGATGATTATTTTATTTTCATTTTAGTTGATTTCTTTAATATAGGCCATATTACGGTGTTATAACAATTCAAACACGGGGCTTGTTCATACCTGATGAAACATGTGGTTTTAGTATCTGGTCTGGGTTCTGGTCTGAGGCCCACTGACTTTTATACATCACATTCATATTATAGTCTGTAGAAGTCGTGGAATAAATTCAGAAAACAACTGAATTCTCTCTGGAACCTGACTTATTCTTGATCTGTGAGAACTTTAATAGTTCATAAACAGCCATGTTTGATGAGGATCCATGTGTTCCCTAAAAAACTGTGATGATCCATTTTACCTGTCAGATCTCTCTGCTGGACAAACTGTTCTCTCCTGGTTTCAATCACATTCAGGATCTCACTAATTCCTGATCAAACCTGTAATCAATGGTTTTTAATAAACAGTTAAAATGTCTTCATATCTGCTCACAACTACATGACAGTGTGATAAAATATTTATGTAGGTAATGATTTTAGTTAATCAATACAGCGTATCAGGTGACAGACACTGATACTGACTGTTACTGATGAATCTGTGGTGAGACAGAATCACTGTTGATCAATATCAACCTGCTGATTGTTCAGTCGAGCTGTGGTGTGTGTGTGTGCTAGTGTGTGAATCAGTGATGTGAAGTGTGAGGGTATTAATGTGTGTGTTGGTGTGAGAGTGTGAGAGTGTGTCAGTGTGTGTGTAATGTGTAGTGAGTGTGTGTGTGATGAGATGTGACAGCTGTGATCTCTGTTAGTCCTCTCTCTGTCCTTCTTTCTCTGAAACCACTGAACTATGAAATCACTGAGACAGACGCCTTCCCACAATCCTCTCTGCCTGTCTGCTGCCCCAGCTGTACAAACACACACACACTAACACAGATACACATTGAAACACACGCACACACTAACAGAAACACACACACAGGTTTCTGTTTGTGGCCTAGGCAACAATCAGTCTGATAATTGTTGTTGTTTACTAGATCAACTGCTCAGAGTGACAACAGACTGTCATGTGATCTTTAATGAGCTGTTTGACTGGCTCCTAAATTAAATGACACTAAACTTTACACAACATCTGGACTATATCATGTACAAAAACATCTATACCACATCATGTACACAAACATCTCAACCACACTGTTGCTGTGGCAGAAACATCTGGCTCACACTGTGACTGTTGGCAGAATCGTCTGGACCACACCATGCACCCAAACATCTGGACCATACTGTGACTATGAGCAGAGGAACCATTGGGACCATACTGTAAATATCTGGACTACACTGTCTACACAAACATCTGGCCCACACTGTAGCTGTGAATAGAAACATGTGGAACACACTGTGGACACAAAAATCTGGACCACAATGTGACTGTGGACTGATACATCTGGACCACACTGTGACTATGCCTAGAATCATCTGGCCCACACCATGGACACAAACATCTGGATCACACTATGAAACGAAACATCTGGACCACACTTTTAATGTCAACAGTAAGATCTGGACCACATTGTAACTGTGGGCAGAAACATCTGGACCACATTGTAACTGTGGGCAGAAACATCTGGGCCACACTGTGACTATATCTAGAATCATCTGGCCACACCATGCCCACAAACATCTGGACCACAGTGTAACTGTGACCATTTGTTGTGCCTTGTAGGCTGTCACTGGGTCATTTGTTTCATCTGTTAACAGGATCTAAAACATGTTTCTGGAAACAGAAGTTTAGGGTTTAGGGAAGGATAGGAACGTGTGTGTGTGTGTGTGGGTGTGTGTGTGTGTGTGTGTGTGTGTGTGTGTGTGTGTGTGTATAATCTGCTGACTCAGTTTAAGGTAAACAGTAGCTAATTTGACTCCAACACATTCCTCACTAACACTCCTCCATCCAGCAGCTCCTTATTACACACTATGTTTCTGTGTGTTTTTGCGTGTATCTTCAGGTTCTGAGGTTTACGAGCCGACAGTAAAGGTGTCACAGGTCTGTTAACTGAGGGAACTGTCTGCAGCTGTGATGATGACATGCTGCAGTTGGGCTCTGATTGGCTGCTGTGTGTTAGTGGGCAGAGTCTCACCCTTGCTCCTTTGGCTGGAAAACACTGGCAGGTGGAGCAGTCCCGCCCAGCGCACGGTTCTGTGTGGTCACCCTGGAAACCAAGAAAGAACACAAAGATCATCATAATATCAGTGTGATATCATATCATCATCAGCATCACATTCTCATGACATCACTGCATCAACAACACCTCATTATGACATCATGGTGAGGTCACATGATGTCGTTTCAGTCTGACATTTCACAGACAGTTTTGTGTTGTCAGGTGTATTTGTCCTCCGGGCTGCCTCCAGAGTCACCACCTTTACCTGGTGGGGGGGTTGGCATGCCCCCATGACCAGGCAGTGGTGTTGTTCAGTAGCCCCTTTTAGGGTCATCCAAGGTAAACTTAGTGGAGTTGTGACTGCAGATGGAAGCTACCTCGCCCAGATTAGAGATCAGGGCCCTCTCCTGGAACCAGGCCTGGATGGGGAACTTGTTGGTGAGCACCTGTGACCCCCAGACGTTCCCAACAACACCCATGGGGCTCAGCGATCAGGTTTGTAGTCGTTTCATCCCATCTGCAGTCATATGTCCTGGATACTTGGATACTACAACTGTGGAAGAGGCCGGCAAGATCAAGGCAGAGTCATCTCAGGTTGTTTGAGCTGGACTTCTGAAGCAGCAGAGAGGAATCAGGAGGTCAGAGGGAGACCAGCTTCTGTGGTCAGACAGGACTTGAACTGAGAATACTGTCGGACGGTGGAAGGAACTCTAAGACTTTTCCATTTCTGGCACAGGTCTCTGAGGTAGTCAAGCGTTCAGCAGTTTATAATAGTGGTAATGCACCTCAGACTCAGTTTAGTGATGTGGATTCTGTCCTGATCCTGGTACAGTAGACCAGCTGTTTGCTCCTGCAGAGACAGTGGAGGGCTGATGGGAGATTGTCCATCCCGTCTACATGTGCTTTGTGGACTACGGAGCAGGTTTATGACTGTGCCCCCTGGGGTGTGTTGTGGGGGGCACTGTGGGAGCAGACCGGGTCAGCGTCAGCATATGTATGAATGTTCAGACTGCAGCAGGGTGCGATTGTGTGTTTGTGGTGTATTTTGTGTTTTCAGACAGTGAGGAATGTAAACACGCTGCAGGGAAAGACAAGCATCTCTGAGATTCTCAGGAAGCAGACAGCTGACGGTGTGTGTGTGTGTGTGTGTGTGTGTGTGTGTGTGTGTGTGTGTGTGTTTATCAGATAACGTCAGTGACAATCATGCTTCATTTTTTTCTGACCCACACACTCTTTGAACCATTTGAGTGAGGACATGAGAAGCAGCCTCTGTTCATCAGATATGAATCAGTGCTGCAGCTGGGGCCAAAACATGCATGTGTTTGTTCATGTGCATCGTGTAATGACACACACGTGTGCTCATTAACACCAGCCCAATAATAAAACACACACCAGTTAATGTAGGCTGTATAATAATAGACACATATGTTAATGCATGCCACATACTGTGTGTTAATTTATACTAGGGCTGCATGATATGCAGAAAAAATCATATTGTGATTATTTTGGCAGATATTGCGATTTTAGTTGGATTGGTCGTTTTGTCATTTTCACTGAAAAAAACATAAAAATGATGATGATGGGATTTTTGTTGTCTGATCTGTACCAAACAAACATGTTTACATGTTCTTGTATTTCAGGAGAATATAATTTAAACGTATGGTAACAACAAACAATGCACAACAATGTGACACATTTCACCAAAAAACAATTGCAGCTCCTGCAATTTGGAAATTACACTTGGCCACAATTACAATTATATTTCAATTAATTGTGCAGTCATAATTTATACCGTACAACAAAACACACATTTATTGGTTGACCTTTCATTACAGGATGTGAGCAGTTCCTCCACCTCTGTCTGACAGTGCTGTGGGGAACACAGGTACTGGACCCCTGTTAAAAAGGACCTGACACTGCCCCCCCTCATACGTCCCACACTGCAGGTCCCTGTTGATATACTGAGTGTTTTTTTTTTTTTTTGTTTTTTTTTTTTCTGTGGGCCCCAGACAGTGAGTTTCCCAGCATGCAGCAGTGTTTGTGTAGCAGCCACATTCCTGCAGCGTTGTGTAAACGAGGTTATCAGTCAGGCGTGGCTATCAGCAGCAGGAATGTGGCTATCGCTCTATCTGCTGTCACGACTTTGTTCTGAAAGTCTGCGCTCACACCATCCTCCCTCCATCAGTCCTCCATTTATCCTCCATCACCGCTCTCTCTGCTGTCAGGACCTGGGTCTGGACCCATCTGCACTCACACTGTCCTTCATCCATCCTCCATCTTCACTTCATCTACTCACACTATCATCCATTAATCCTCCATCCTCCTGCCATCCCTCCATCATCCCTCGATCTGAGACACCACACTGCCGCCGATTGGCTGAATGGACAGCGGAGTAGCTGATTGGCCGGCAACGCCACTGTTCACAGACAGACTGAACCTGACGACCTCAACAGGACGGAAAAGTTTAGACAAGAAGTCAAACTTTCTACACCTCCACAGGGACATCTCTACATCATGTGTTCATCCTGGATCAGTTCACCATCATCCCTCCATCTCTCCTCCATCAATCAGTCTCTGGTGTAAATCAATAAAGACCTGAGGACCCAGGTCTGATCCCTGTGGGACACCAGGGGAACAGAGACACATAGGTAATACCTTACCTCCACCTGCAGGTTGGTCACACCTGAATCCACCTTACACCTGTACCTGTCAATCACCTGAACCCAGTACACCAAAGCCCCTCTGACAAACAGACGAATCCCCCAAACCAGACTCATATTTTGTCTTCCACACTAAATGTTTATGTCTCTGGCATTTTGTTGCCATCTTTGCTGTGCGCAGTTACCATGGCTACAGGTGTTTACTTGCTGATGAACACAGTGTCAGTGTGACAACCCGTCTTTCATGATGAAAACAAGATTTAAACTAAAATGAAAGGAACGTTTGACATCTTTCATCAACAAATAATGAACTAAACAATAATGTGAAAGACAAATTCATTATTTTTTTATTGTGAAGTCTTAATCAGTGACCTGCCTGTCCTCCAGCAGCCACTAATATCTCTTGTTCAGAAGCTGATTTATGTCCACAGCCCATGAGAATTAGCAACAAAATAGCAGCTGAGACAAACCATGAAAACATGCAGCAACACATTAATAAAGAGTTAAACTGACGTAACATCAGCTGTTGTGGGCGGGACATTAACTTTCATGTTCCCCTCAGAAGAGCTGAGGTCAGCCAAACATCTGGATGACACTGATCAATCAATAAGACTCTGATCAACATTACAAAGAAAGCAGAGCTGTGCCTCATCAGCATCAGCTGGAAATAGGGTTGCACAATCTTAACCATAGTCCGATCATCCTGTCGTCACCCTGTGAAATTGCCAATAGCCGATAACAATCTCCTGAGCATAGCACCCCCACACAACAAGCTGCGCTCCAGTGACAATCAGTTGGTCGCAGAGTGTGTGTGTGTGTGTGTGTGTATGTGTGTGTCTGCGTGCGTGTGTGTGTGTGCGCGCACACCACATGTCGATGTTGCAAGCATCGGTTTTAAACATGAAAGGCAAATTCAATTTAATATTATTTAATTCTACAAATAATAAATGAATACCTTAATGGAAAAACAAGTCAAATATCGTGTTGACACTGGCAAAGGCAGACGCTATCAGTGATCACTCTGATGACCATCAGCACAACCCTGCCGGAAACATCCACGTATCACTGTAAGCTCACATCAGAGACATGAAGGTGATTGGTAACTACGCGGTCCAGAGTCCACTGAACTGTCTTCAGCCTGCAGAGCTCACAGTGCTCAACAACAACAATAACATCACACTTCACCTACATGCCATTAGAAGCACATAAAACACCTTCACAATAAAAAAATAGCTGAGAGCTGAACTCACCCCGAGAGCTGCTGGAGGAGCTGTCAGCATCATCAGGAGGCACCTGCAGGAGCAAACACACAGGTGAGTCAAGAAGGAGAAGTAGCAGGTGAGTTTATTACCTGGACCAACAGACTGCAGCTCTGACTCATCAATAATCAGTAATCAATCAGTGATAGCAATCAGCTGAGACGGTTCTGCAGTCACATCCGGTGGGATGGAAATGTTCCCATGGTTACAACTTGTTTGAATTTGATCTTGACCAAGAGACTGCGTTTATTGTACTGTTCATGTGTTGTGTTCTGGTTTTTTTAATTATTATTTATTATTTCATTTATTATTTCTATGTTATTTTCATCATTATTACATCTCATTTTACATTATTACATTATTCATTATTACATTTAATGTTCTTTATTTTACATCAATGTTTTTAACATGTTTTTATGTTCATTTGATATCTTTTCATGTGCAGCACTTGGTGAGTGGCATTTCTTTGTTTAAAAGCTTTGTTTCTTGTAATGAAGGTGCTACTGTATATAGGGCTGCACGATATGCAGAAAAAATCATTTGCAGATATTGTTATTTCAGTCATTTTTTTCATTTCATTTTCACTGAAAAATTTTTAAATTTTTGTTGGTCTGTACCAAACAGACATGTTCCTTTACATCTGGAGAATATAATTTGTAGGCCGGGGCATCTCTGTAGCACCGCAACACTTATGGTGCTAACAATGCACAACAATGTGGCACATTTTATCTTCATCAAAAAAATGCAGCTACTGTGAATTGGATATATCACTTGGTAATATTGCAATTTCAATTATATTTCGATTAATTGTGCAGCTCTAGTGATATACAAATGAAGTTTATTATATTATTATCGTTATCATTATTATCATTATTATTATTATTATTATTATTATTATCATTATTATTATTATTATTATTATTATTATTATTATTATTATTATTATTATTATTATTATTATTATTATTATTATTATTGTGTTGTGTCAAACAAGACTGTTGGTGCCTTTCTCCACAACCACTCTTCTCTTCTTGCCAATGATGAAAATACATGTGTCTGTAGCTTTACAGTTGCTTCACAGATAAAGAGCAGGCTCATGGAGGTGGGTCAGCGACCAGCTCTTCTCTGGTTTTTGTTTTATGAATTAGTAGAGACATAGTACCTTATCTTTTTTAAATCTGTTCACGTCAATATTATTTCATCCTTTCTATCATTGTATGTTGCTTACATTTGTAGGATCTGAGGACTCTGACTATGCTGGGGCATGTCAGATGTTAACCTGATTTCAGCTGTATCAGTACAGTACCATGTGTAACTAAGCAGTGCCAGTCTGTCTCTGACTGACCTCTTATGTTGTCTCTGGTCACTTTAATATCTAAATCTGTTTCTGCTCCAGCTGCTGAAAACTTCTGTATCAAACATCTACTTGCGCTTCATTTACCAGAGCCAGGTGTAACTGCAGGGGGCGGAGCAGGAAGTCAGCAGCATCTTGTCCCCCGTTCAGAGGAAGTCCTGGCCACGACACAGCCGTCACTCTGACTCCGCCTCCAGCTGGATCTCAGCCAATGAGGACGCTCCGATGCTGTGACGCTGGTGGTCGTCCTGCAGAGACACAAAGACAAACTGAGACCGAGGACACAGCAGAGTCCACAACCTGAACCATGCCTCAGATCTGAAGGGTTCATCCTTTGAGGAGAAGGACTGCGTCTAGAAAGGCTCAGGTTCAGGATTTGTCTTGGACTGTGAGAGCGCACAGAGCTGCTCACGTGAGTCATGACAAACAGCACACATTATCTAAACAACAGCCATCAGACAAACATCTGACACAAAAGACACAGACCATGAAGAGATAACTAGGCGGACGATGGACTACACAAACGAACAAGAGACATAGACAAAGCAGCAGCTTAGAGACACTGATCATGGTCCTGGTCTGAGAACAGCTGTGATTTAAAATGCTGGATCCTTCATGTGTGCAGATGACTACAGATAATCCAGTTCACAGACTTACTTTGACCAGGACCAGGACCACCCACACCAGTGCCAGTCACTGCTGTGGGTGAAGTGGTTTCTGTCTTCATTATGTTTGTTTTCATTTGGATCAGAGAAACCAGTGTCAATACTGAGAGGATTGTCATGCTGGGATAAATCAGCTGAGATCAATCTGTGATGAAGTGAAATATGACAGCCTGACTCTTTAGTCTGGACAAGAGAGAAAGTGATCCACTGTTACACTGTAGTCCAGGGGCCAGTTCCACAAAGACATGTCAGACTGGTCTGTAGTGTCGGTCCAGTCTTCACGTTGCTCATAGATCAGTCTGATGTCAGACTGTTTCACAAAAATAAAGACTGACTCATTTTAAGACAAACAAAATGAGTTTATAGACAGACAGACACTCTTCGAGTAAAATGTCCTTGTAACTGCTGAATTCTTCTAAAGAGAAACATTTTCTGCTGAGGGTAAATGGAGCTCAGCAGCTGGATGCGATTCGTCAGTCGGCCATTTTTTTTTTTTTTTAAGTCTTAATTTACCCAGAATTCGTTGTACCACAGTCTGGCTTAAGCTAGTCAAGAACTAAAATGCTTTGTGCAACAGATGAATACAGACGTCTATCTGAAGTCTGAATCTGAAACGACCATTTGTTCTATCTAGGACACAGTCAAAGTCTGTCTGTGTGAAACCGGCCCCTGGTCTGGTTTGTGTTCACAAATGAACCAATAGGCGTAAACATCCAGTCACGTGACTGACAGGAAATTCACTGATTGGACAAGTTTCTGTGATGCCAGGTGGAGAAATGACTGACAGCAGCTCAGTCTGCACTTTAATGCTTCTTATGTGTTTGTTTATGTTCCCACATAGAAAGACTGACTCTGAGCTTCACCAGTGTAATCAGACTGTGGATCCATTGCATGTTAAAGACAAACAGATGAAAGAGGATGGTATATGAAGTGCACTTATACAGAGCTTTTCTAGTCTTATCAACCACGCTTTATAATGGACGCCACATTCACCAGTACACACACATATAGCACTTTTCTACCATTCACACACCGATGATATGTCAGGAGTAATTTGGGTTCAGTGCCTTGCCCAAGGACACTTTGAAATGCAGACTGGAGGAGCCAAGAAGCGACCCACGACCTTCTGATTAACAGACGACCTGCTCTCCCTCCTGAACCACAGACGTCTTGTACAGCAGAGTGTCACTGTGGAGCACTGAATCACTTTTTAATGGACTTGAACTGTCAGAATAGACAGTCTGTTGTTCTTGGATCCTCTGACTGTCTCACTGATTAGAGAGCAAAGTACGTCAGTTACATTAATATAACACGGCCACGTCCTGAGCAGTTCACCATCAACAAATGGATTTAATTAGCCTTTCAATTAATGCAAACATCACTTATCTGCCATCATTAAATGCTGTGGTCAGTATGTTTACTTTCAGACCACAAGAAACCACTTGGAACCAGACTGAGACCCTTGTTTCAGGCCTAGTTGTTTGGTCAGCACCAGGGTTTAGACTGTTTAACAAACTAACCAGGCAAACACACCAGAGCTCGTTTGAGCTGAACTGAACAGGTTATCTGTGACAGGAATTAGACAGGTTCAGTGAACACTCAGTGGACTCAAGTTCGAGGCTCTTCAACAAGTTCTGATCAACAGAGACCTGATACTTTATGATAGATACACACTGTATTTGCTTCTCTTCTTTCCCCGCCTTTTGTCTGACTGAATATTCAGGAGAAGATTGATTATAAATAATAACGTATTAATAATCATGATTCCTGCCATGGTCCTGTCTCTGTCTTCACCCCCCCTGGTTGTCTCTGGAAATTTCCATGTACCCAGATGTCCCCAGACTTTCCCTCCATTCCCGGTCACCTGACCCTCCCCGCCCACTCACACACCTGTTCCCAGTTTTCTCATCAGCTCTACCACTATTTAAACCAGCCTGTTTCACCAGCTCCTGCCCAGTTTGTCAGGTTCTTCGTGTTAACTGAGGATTTGAGTCTTTCATCCTGCTTTGGCTCATTTTTTACATTTTTTCAAATCCTTCTTCCTCTTGTCTCATTCATCCCCATCATGGAACATCTGTAACTTAATGCCAACAATGCCACAGTGTCTGAGAAGAGAATCAATGCCTGGACCCTGATGGATAAGAAATGATCTTCCAGATCATGTCTAATGAAGATTCCTGGCATTGTGGAATTGGTGACTGATACTGCAGCCCTCAGGATGAGTTTCCAGGCTTCCCTGTATCCTCCCAGAGACACCTGGGAGCAGCCCAGCAGCTCTGCTGTGAAGCCTTTGGCCCGAGCATCCAGGAACCAGATGCTAGCATCAGGCCTGTAAGCCTCCAGCCTGTTTCCTGCAGCTTGGATCAGACCTGCTAAGTACCAGGCTGTTCCCGAGTCTGCCAGCCTTCTGCCTGCTTCCCAGTTGGCAAAACAATGGCATGCCCCCTAGATGGTTAGGCTCAGGTCAGTTGACCACCCATCTCCTCACACTGTGTGTCCTGCCCCCAGATGTCAAGCTGCTGTTCACCAGCCCGGCTCCTGTTGGTCTTCTACTCAAGGGCCCCTGGGTGCTCTGGTTTCCACTCCTCAGCCTGATCTGCATCTTGCCCTGAACCTCAACATCCTGCTCTCCTTCCCACGTCATCCTCAGAGGAGGGGGGTTAGAGTCATTATTTCTGCCATGGTCCTGTCTCTGTCTTCACCCTCATCCTCACTCCCTTAGGCCCCTGGTGGTCTCTGAAACACCAGAACCACCATTATCCATCCAGCTACCAGACAACCCCAGACTTTCCCTCCATTCCTGGTCACCTGACCCTCCCCGCCCACTCACACACCTGTTCCCAGTTTTCTCACCAGCTCTCCCACTATTAAACCAGTTCCTGCCCAGTTGGTCAAGTTCCTGTTCCTGATTTGGTTCCTGAACCTTCTCACCTGTGCCTGGTCTTGTAGTTTCTCTGTGGTACTGGTTTTACTGAGGGCAGAGCAGCTGTCTGGATGTCGACAGTACCTGGTAGTACAAGAAAGTTAACTAAATAAACTTATCAGCAACTTCATCAACATCTTTCTCATCTGGATTCTGGCAGCTGTACTTGAGTTTAGATTTTAGTCAGTGAGTCCTGACCCACTTTCAAGTTTCCACATCACACTGTCAACGTTATACACTGATTGGCTCCAAACTCGTGATGATGTCATAAATCCTGCAGGTACATCCAGGGTTTACAGTGAGATTTGAGATGAGCTGAGAGAAAACACAGACATCACTCTGTACAGAGAAGTAAAACACTGTTTCTGATGAAGCTGACAGACTGATTACTGTTCATGAGTCAGACACAGTTACTCCAGGACTGAACATGTACTTCACCTGAGTATGTGCTTCTTACTGCTCTACATCTGTCCAGCAGTTGCAGTGACATTGAGGATGAAGATTTTTTAACAGAGCTTTGATCAGTTTGTAAAATGTGATCAAACAGCTAGTTACACTCTCCAGCAGCAGCAGCTACAACAGTAAACTGCAGTTCACACATGAATGCATCAAGATTAATTACCCAATAAGACAATGCAACACAGTCTGCTGCTGCTTTTATTTTAATCCATTTCACTGTCACTAACTGAAGTGAGATGACGATGAAGGTGTTTCACTGAAGTCAGACCTCAGCTCTTCAGCTAATTTAACCTCAACAAAAAGCACAAAATTAAATGAACTTTTCCTCTTTGTGATGAATCACAGATGCAGAGTAAAACTCATCACAGTCAATCAGTGACTCAGTAAATCAATAAATCAATAAAGCTCCTCACTGCCACAGACCACAGTGATACTCTGCAGAACAGCAGTGAACCAGGCTGGAGAACAGTAGTGGAGTAAAAGTACTTCGTTACTTCTCTCCTCCTCTTCAGCTTCATCAGTGGCTCATTAACTGACGAATTAATTAACTCGTTAATGACGTCACCAGCTAATTAGACCACAGTTACCAGTGAATTAACGGTTAAACAGCTGATCGGGATCGATCATGAGAGTTACAGCAGCTGATTCACACAGCACACACACAGCAGACAAACAGCTCAGGTGAGCCGCACACACAGGTGAGTCTTACCTGAAGGTCTCTCTCCGTGTGGAGCCTCACTCACTTCTCATGTCACAGACGCACAGACAGAAAAGTCTCAACTTTATCCGCTAAACTGAAGCCGCAGCGCAGCGCTGCACACACAACCCGACACCTTCCAAACCGCAGCAAACACCTGCAGGGACACACACCAACACTTCCGGTCCCCAGCCCCCATCCTCCAAAATAAAAGCTGCAGCGAGACAAGAAAACGGTGATGGAAGGTTTAGTCCGTTTTCATCAGCTGATGTTTTTATAAAAACTATTGATCATCATTGATGACATTTACTCTAAGGTTCAGAGTTTTTTTTAACACCAGAGGTCTCCATGACAACGGTTTAGTCTCCACATCACAGACAGAACATCAGCATTAAATTGCATGGAGGTGAGTATTATCTGACTCACTAAAGTTTACTACTGATGTCAAATATATGAACACACACAAGCAGAGGAAACTGCAGCTAATATCATTTCTATTAGACTATAAGACTAAAAAAGTAGAATGATGCTCAAGAACACACACAGACCGCTACCCTTCTTCTGCACTACAGCTGTTGTTTGAACTCATGAGTTTGACTTGTAATGGAGTATTTCCATAATGATCTGGACTCATCTTTCAGCTCTTTTCAGAGCAACAAATATTTAGAGATGTGTTGTTTTGTCACTTAAATTCATCACTGTTTGTCTGTTCACTGGTTTCTTCGCATGTTTTTGTTCTGTTTTGTGTTTTCTTAATCATTTTATTAAAATAACAGCAAAGAAAAACTGTTTCTGAAGTCTGTGTCTTAATAACCACTGAAGCTCATCAGGTTCATCTGTGTTCAGGTTGTTCTCAACAGCTGATGGTTGTTGTCAGGTTGATGATGGTTTGACTGAAATAGTGTTCATCATCTCTGACGGGATGTTTCATATCTGCCTGAAAGAAATTCAGGTTTTATTATCAGCAAAATGTCAAAAGGGAAAGTTCTCATTGTATAGTCTTAAACTGTGGCGTCTCCACGGTCCAGGAAGATAGTTTTCTTATTTTTCTTCTGCAACAAGATAAACATCAGTATGTTCTTTTATTCTTAGTGCTCTTAATATTTTATCAGTAGATGCTGACCTCATGTGAACCCCAGCTCTGTTTCAGGCTCCACACTGAGCAGATATAATTAGCCCAACACTGTAAACACCTGTGCACGTGCACAACCTTTCACCTGTAATGATTTGTTTTAGAAGACCATATGTTGTATGTATGAAATCAAAGTAAGGGTCAGGTAAATGTAGAGCAGTAGCGTACAGTGAGTTGTGGTGGAGCACAAGTGTGAAGAAGTAGAAACTGGAAATACTCAAGTAGCCTACCTCAAACTTAGACTGAAGTAGAGTCCAGTACTAAGTACTAAGTGTACTCAGTTACTTCAGTACTGTTTCTATAGGCCTGTTTGTATTGTGGTATCTAGGTCAATAAAGAAAACAGAGTCTTATCAGATCTGTGTTTGCAGGCTTTTATTTTGTAGGGCAGGGCCAGAAGTCCCTGTCCTGGATGTCGCGGGTTTGACTCTGTCAGCAGACTGACTCTCCATCCTGCAGCAGGTTGCTGTGTACGGACAGGATCCACTGCCCCGACCCCCTGTGGACTGAACCGAACCGAGCCGAACTGTGCCGAACCGAGGAGTGGAGTCCACCCCGATCCGAGCCGAGCGGAGCCGAGCCGTGCTGAGTTCATCCTGGAGTCAGTTTGATCAGCGGGGAGTCCGCGGCAGTGTGTCCGTATGTATGGAGGCTTCGAGCGGCCCGAGACGGAGGATTATCCCGCTGCTGGTTCTGCTGCTCTGCTGTTCCGCCGCTCCGGGACATGCCGAGAGGGTGAGTGAGCACACCCCGAGCCGACCCACACACACACACACACACACACACACACACACACACATATATACATAGGCCTACACACAAACACAAAGGGGTTAACAGAGGTTTAATAGAATAATAAGAGACTGCACTGCACAGATCTGACTCTTCACCTGGAGGAAATTCAGTTTTTATTGAAGATGTGAAGAGACTTCAGCTCAGAGGGACTCTTATTGTTAAAATGTTTGAGGACTCCACATGAATCAGTAAAGAGGTTTGTGAAGTGTGAAGAGCAGAGCTGAGCTGCTGAGATCCTCCATCAATATCGATTCATTATTGCAGAAGTGAAGTGTGATAGGTGTTTTATGTGTGATTGGTGTTTTATGTGTGTGTGTGTGTGTGTGTGTGTGTGTGTGTGTGTGTGTGTTGTCATGGTAACAGACAGAACGTGTGAATTCAGTGTTTGTTCTGTTTTATTGGGTTTTTAACAGCAAAGTTAGAAAGACTGTGACTGTGCCTCTGAAAGGCCTGACAGTGTCATCATCATCATCATCATCATCATCATCATCATCACTTCATATACACATTGGCTACATCTGCTGAAGGTTATTATTATTATTATTATTAGTGTTATTGTTACCACTAGTCGTAGATGTTCTTTTCTTTGATGTCAGTGTGTCCATGTTGCTGTGAATCATGGGTAATGTTGAGAGCAGGTGAAGTGTGTTTTGTGACCAGGTGAGTTGTGGATGTGAAACAGATTGTCGTGTTTATGAGCTGAGCTCAGTTGCAGACAGAGGTAACTTTTTAAACTTGTGACTTCAGACGTGAGCAATGCTGACTCAGGTGACATCACCTGAGGACATTTATCAGACTTCATACAGCTCCACTAAAGGCTATATACTACTGCTTTCACATATGCAACACCTGGAAACACCTGGAAACACATTGCCTGGCTGAATTGACTGAACCTGATGTTTAAATTGAGGTTTCATTGCCTTAAAATCAACAGATGTGAGCTGATGTGCAGCATCTGTGTCTGTTTGGTCTTCAGACTCATGTCAGATTCTGTATCAGAGGTTAAAGACTTGGACATATTACTGAAATTTGTACTTGAGTTGTAGCTGGAGAGTCTGTCACAGTAAACTGAACCTCTCTGGGTTTTGGAAAAACATCACCTTGGACCATGAGGAACTGAGATAGATGTTTTTTGGGACATTTCATAGACTGCAGCTGCAGCTCTAGTCCGGTGAGAAACAACAAGCCCTGTCCAGTGGAGTCAGATGAGGACCTGCTGGGTTCAGGACTTCAGCTTCAGACTTGGGACAGTTCTTAAGATCAAACCAAATCTGTGACTGTGCAGTCAGTCTTCATGAGGGAAATCTTGGCTGCAGAGAGAGTGAGGACAAAGTGAGAACAGAGTGAGGACAGAGTGAGGACAGTGTAAAGACACTGTGAGGAGAGTGAGGTGGAGGGTAGGAGGAAAGGTGAGGTCAGATTGAGACACACCCTATCTTCACACTATCTTTCCATTTTACCCTCATTCTGTCCTCACTCTGTCCTCACTCTGAAAATAGTGTGAAGATGGTGTGTCTCAATCCGACCTCACCTTTCCTCCCCACCCTCCCTCTTCTCTGTAGACTACTGAGTATGCTCAGTACATGTTGATCCAAACATCTTCTGCTCTTTACTGCGGAAATAAGAAAATGTAGAAAGAATGTGAGACAGGAAATAAAACCTGTGTCTCTGTCTGTCTGCAGACTGTGGATCAGTGCTGGGAAATAACTACGTACATTTACTCAAGTACAGTTTGGACCTACTGGACTATTTACTTTATACTTCTATTGCATTTCACCTCATAGCATCTCCTTACTGGAAACAATTTACATTGTATTGTTGTATTGATGTAGCCTCACATATTCAGTTATTAGACTCCTTTAACATTGTACATAATATGGATATAATGAATACTTTTACTTGTGATATTTTACATACATTTCATTGATAATACTCTTGTAGTTTTACTGAGATCTGATTTACAGAACTTGAACTTGAACATTTCACAGTGAAACTTCCTCCACTGCTGCAGTCAGACAGACAGTCTGCTCTCTGTCTGTTGTCTTAGTTCGTCTGTTTTCTGTTTCAGCCTTTTGTCCTGAGCTGCTGTTATTACTGACCCAAATACACACACACACACACACACACACACACACACACACATACGCACATACACAGCGGTGATAGACAAACTGAACTCAGATCAGATGAACGTCTCTCTGACTGACAGAACACATGAAGTTTACTGGTTTAATTCATAGAAGGTCACAGACTTTTACTGACACATCTCAAACATTCATAATCTCTGAAGCACAGATGATCAGTGATTTCCTCTTCACATTATATCTTCTCCCTCTGTCTCAGGGGTCTGACACTCTTTGCTTTGATTTATGGAGCAGATAGATGATGAGTTTCTGTTTTATTAGGGGATCTGCAGTTCTTAAGAAGTCTTAAAAAACATCACACTCCCTTGTAAAAGTCGTTGGAGCTGTTAGAGGTCCATATAGTATAAAGGTAGATGTCCATGTGCTGTTTGATTATAGATCAGGTCTAGGTTCTTCATTAATATTGTGAAAGTATCAAAGCGCTCGGACCTCAAAGAAATGCACACAGCCTGTATTCAGAAACTGCACCTTAAAACCAGCCGTCAGGACTTCTGGAACTTTGTGATGTCACAACAAAGCAGTCACCACTCTCAGCCACACCCCAAACATTTAGAACGTGATGAAGCAAAGTGTATTGTGTGTTGCTGCTGTCAGCAGTGATGTTGATATTAGGGATGTTACGAGAACTGATACTTCAGGAACAAGTTGACGCCAACATTCTAAAAATGTGATGGAACTTGTTTTTGTACAGAACTGTAGGTACTGAAGGTTCCGTAAATGTTGTAGGCACTTGAGATGTGATTCTTCTGGGGCTGACAGTTGCAGAATAATAACCCTACTAGTCTGAGAACAAACTGAAAGAGAAGAAGAAGGCAGACACAGTAAACAACACCAACATGTGGTATGGCACCAGCAAGTGCAGGTGCAGCAACAGGTCCACCATGACTTGACGGAAATAAAGACACACATAGCCTACTTCACCAAGACTGGTTTATGGAGATATTTTGTATTTGATGCGGATCATCAGGAAAAAGTTCTAGATGACTAGAAGTCAGAATGTAAATTGTGTCAGAGGAGGAAACAGCTGAGAGACAGACATCAGATCTGTACACAGAGT